TGTTGTCATGATCCAATACTCGTGTTTTTAAAATATCACATCATATCTCCTCCACTTTAAGAAGCTAATGAGGGGATGGGATGCATGTGCAGTGCTTTGAGTGGCCACAATGCATTGTGGGTGGCCACGCATTCTGTTGTAAAAATTTCTTCATTTGCTCTTTTAATGTTCCCCTTTTTGGATTTAGGACTACTTTTGTGGTGGTCTGTTTGTACATTTTGCTACTGAGGCTTTGACACTGGGGGTAAGACTACAAGCCTAGGTTGATAACTACTCAGCTTTGCTCACCTCCACTGAGTGACGCTGCTACTCGTCTTTAAATTGTATTTGTGGAACGACTTTTACAGTACCTCACTATTTCATAATCGTGGCCGTATCATATCGCAATTAAATCATATATCGACACATCCCTATTTACAGCAGGCTGGTGTTGTCCAAACCCACCCTCTGACCACATTTAAAGCTGTAAGTGTAACTAACCGTACTTTGTAAAACTGAAATGAGCAGTTCTCATTAAAACGAGTGAGTTCACTTCATGAAACACCCGCCATGCGCTCAGTCATGTCACGGCCCCCGCTGCCTCAGTAGCTGCCCGCTGCCTTCTTTTTAAAGTCACCTTACTGTCGACACACCTGTTTGTAATTGGCTCTTATTAAAGGACTAATGTTTTGCACCTGTGCTGCTTGGCGACACTCACTCATGCGGCCAATCAGGGGCAGAAGTTGTAAAAGTGGGCCTATGAGGGACAGGGCTTGTAAAAGTCGATTAGACATGAAAGAGGAGCCGGGATTGATGCCGGCCCTTCAGGGGAGGATTTCGGTGAGAGGCTCTCAGAGCAGAGCGGCTTGGACTCATTCCAGGAGTGAAAAAGAGACGCAAGATGGGACAGATAAGTGTTTGGTCAGATGGGTGTTACTGAAAACATGAAACTCTGCTGGTATAATGTTTCATATCACGGAGGTCATGTTTATTTATCTCTCTCTGCAAAGACTCCCAAACACAAAACTTAGATTACAGGACTTGTTTCAGCCTGTTCGACCAGCACTCCTAAGCACAGTTTGTAAAACACACCGTCAGATTTATTCTCATCCTTAAATGGACCTTTACTCACACACACTCTGTCTGTCTCTCCATAGAAGTGAAACAATACGACTGTGAAGAGTTCAGCTCCTTCCCTCCCCCTCCCTCTCTTCTACTCTTCTTTACTTCCCTGCTTCTCCCATTCCTCCTCCACCCCACCCCACCAGGACAGGTTCAGGGTGAGGGCAGCTCAAGAGAGGGAGAGGATGGAGGGATGGAGGAAGTGAAGGTATAGAAGGAGTTGCAGCAGCAGCAGCAGCAGCAGCAGCTGTCCACTAATGAAGTGCCTGACTCCCACTATAAACCAGGACTGACAGATATAGCCAGAGGACGACCACGCTGTGTGCATGATTGTGCGTTTGCATCATGATGTGTGTGTGGGAGAGAGAGAGAGTTAACATGCATGAGTGGATGAGCATGTATGCAGAGGGAACATGATGAACGATACAGTAAGAGGATGAGGAGAAAGCATGGGTTACAGGAATATGAAAGCTGTGCTGTAAGTCTATTCTGCACGAGTTATGATCTATAATGTATAAATGTATAGGCCCCTGGCCTGGGCAGCAATTATGTCTCTCTAGATTTCATTAAGAATTTGAATGCTTCCAATGTTTATGGAGAAATGCTTGATTGCATGCTTGAAGAATAATCTGTATTAGTTTTGGGGCAGGCAGGGCTTTGTAAGGGCTTACCGTGCAGAAAACACAGACTGGCAGTCAGTGCAGAAGCCCTGCAGACTGGAAGTCTTTAGTTCCAGACTGTGAACATGGTTGAAATCTCCGTTCAAAATCAGAGCACTTTGGCACATTTGTGCATGGAGGTTAATGTTTTTACCTTGGCTTTTGGAGTCTGCCTCAAGTGGGCATTTAAGGAACTGCAGCTTGTTGCTCTTCTGTAAAGGTTCTGTTTATTTAATACTAAAGATAATCACATTATAACAACTTAAAAAAATATATTTATATTTTTTGAGCCAAATGAAGCAAATTTAGGTCATTTCTTAGCTTCAGTCACTGCTATGAGAGACTGAACCAAGTCAGCAGCTAAAACATTCCAACAAGATGATTAAAGGAGAAATGTATTGTTATTTTAAAGCACCTGTGAGTAACTTCTGGTTTGTGTCAATCTTGGCGCCCCCTTTAGGCACAGCAGTCTTCTCTTATCTTGTCCACTGCATGATTGAGTTATTTAAGGCAACAAAGCTAACTTATGATGATCAGATGTAATATTCATTGTGATATTTTTGGTAGAATTGTAAACATGGGACTGTTTCTTCAGCTGCAAAGCTCGGTGTACAATAAAAATAAGGATGTAAAAATCAAGTCCTGTTGCCTATGGTATTGTTTGATATTGTATACCATCAAAAGGCATCAAAGTGAATATTAGTCTAGTTCATAAATGTCGAAATCACGTATGTAAAAGCACAAACATTTCTATTAGAAACTCTCCAGAAAGTCTCTTTTAATCTTTTTTGTTTGCCTTTATCTCCATTTTAGTCCAATATAAAGCAGTTTACATCAGCCTGTTGTTTAAAGGTACAGAATAAAGTGTGTTTTATTTCCTTTAAATATTCAATTTAATCCATTTATAGAGTATAACAAAAACTATCTTAAGTAGACTAAGCCCTGTCCCATGTCAAAATGCAAACACATGATGATCCTTTTGCCGCATTCAATTGTTAGTCAGATGACATGACATATAATCATTCTAATAAAACATTAAGACGGATTTTTTTCATGACAGTGTAGTTTTCATAATGGATTTTCATAAATATCTGGGTTCATGTCGTGTATGAATCATTAAAAATAACATTTCAATGCTAAGTGAACAATTTTCATAAGTATGTTCTCTATTAGAATAAAACCTGCCAGTGAAACTGCACATCAAATCTTCAAATTTCCTGGACGGCTTGATGGGAAAACATCAGCTCTGTATTTTTAGTATGAAGCAGGTGGGGTGAGGAGATCCTGAATTCATTTTCTCTAACAATGACCAGATGCATAGACAGAAGAGCAGAATCAGGAGCAGCATTCAAACAGGCATAATTTCGCCTCTTATCATAATCTGTCAAACTTGTCGGCCAATAGGAAACAATTTGGAGCGAAACAGTCAGACCACTCAGAGTGCATTTTGGTGCAGCTTGCCAGATTCATGAGCGACCTCATAAGATTTTCCCTGTGTGGAATCTGTTTCAGCAGACCCGATCAGATAAGGCAGAGAAGAAATCTGATTGGACACAGAAACACAAAATTTGATTTTAAGCCTTTGCTCAAAAAAAAAAAAAAGTTTTTGAAAGGAGGTCCAAGGAAGATAATGTCGGATTTTCCTGCCTGCTTTGCTATGAAGAAATCCCTTTTTTCTATTAAGTTAGGAGAGACATTATTTCATACTCATGCACGATAAAGGAGAGAGACAGGAGCTGATTCTGCTCTGCTCACATAGATTGAATGTAATCTAAGGCAGCGCGAACCAGACGGAGAATAAGGTGGCCTGAGTGGATCTTGCAGCGCTAGGTGCTTTTGAGATTTACAGCGTGTGGTCTCCTGCTCTAAACGCAGATATTAAAATCATTACCGCTGTGTGTTAGCATAAGCTTTCCTCCGCTGGAGCCAAAGGGGCTGTGTTTTATGGCCCTTTTATTTAGTAATCCACTGTGGTTTCTATGAGGCACAGTTTTCCCTCTCACTCTCCTAGACTGACTGCGATCCTCTTATCAAAGACGGCCGTTGTATACTTATTATTTAGCCCCTAATCCAGTTATCATTCCTGGCACGGGGGGGAAAGTACACAGTGAGTCCTGAAGGTCGTCCCCCAGGCAAATTGATTTAGAGACAAAAGATTCTGGAGACGCAGATAAAGAGAAATATTTCCAGTAAAGTCAGAGGCATAAACTGTACGTACTCTGCAGAAACACACCCACATACTCACATGCATACCCAGACACCTTGTCCTCGCTTTAACAGCCTTGTAAAGATTATAAATAAAATGTGATGAATTTAAAGCTCCTATTATTGTGAGATGGCGGTCACCCGATACACGCAGAACGCAGTGGTGTATTCTGGCATTCCTCTTTAGGGTAAACACTGAGTCAGAGCTGTGTTTTATGTCAGAGCACAGAAATTCATGACGTCTTATCACACATTCAGGTCCCGGGGTCAGCAGTGGAGCAGAAACCCATACGTACTCAGTGTTATTACTGCACACTTACATTTATTATTACACACCCACATTTTCAAAACTGAATTTTCCTCCTGGAGAAATGGTTTGTGAAAAGCAGATAAAGGACTGTAGATGTTATTTTTGAAAACAGAAAATTCAAGTGTGTCCACCGCCTCTATCCTCTTTCTTGTTGCATGCAAAGACGTGCTTTTAGTCAAGTGGCATCCAAGGTTGTTATTTCCCTCACTCTCTTGGTGTTTCTTTGTAAACCTTCATAATAAAAGAATATCTCCAGGCTCCTTGACCACTTTTCAGGGTTGAAATACTTAACGTTCATTCACGTAATGAGTCAGGCCTTGGTGTGTAAAGGCCAAACAGTCATAATCACTGCCTTCTTTTGATTTGGCTGGTTGTTTTAGGAGCTAATTACTCCTCACACAGTGTTTTCAGATCCTCCTACAGTCACTGATTGAAGCTCTTTATCTTACACAGACACACATACCCGTGTCTCAGTTTCACTTTAACACACCGATAACTTTCTTGGCCTAGAAATGAGTTTGCTCTGCTGTGGATAGAGGCTCCCCTGTGGCTTTTCATCTGACTGTGGCAGATACCCTTGGCCCAGTTCATCCTCAGCTCATCACATGCACGTCAACATGGCAGGGCATGTAGGCCGTTTCACGATCACTGACTACTGCTTTTGATGCATGAATACTCATTTATAGCTTGTGCTGTACTTTTCTCCTGCTGTCTTAAGTTTTCATTTCAAGTTTGGGAGCAGTTCTCACCAGGAAGTAAGATGCAGTCTGCTTTGGGAGCCTGTGCCTGATGCTGACTGATGCTCCAGGATTGATGTGGCTGCTTGCCTGTACCTCACTCAAGGCCGATATATTCCTCTTCCCAAGCTCCTCCCTGACCCTCTTTAGCCTAGCTTAGCTTGCATTAGAATGACCCGACCCTCCCCTTGCTCTGGTCAACCCTCGCTGGCTCGGCTCTCCTCTCCTCAGTCGAACCCGACCCTCCTCTGGCTGGCCTCAGAGCAGCTTGTATGAGACCAGAGGAATAGGGGGAGGCTGAACCTTGAGGGCAGCAGATATACGAGCCCTAACTGCCTTTTCATTAAGCTGACTGTCAGTTTGAAAAAGTCCTTTCTTCTACCTTGTTTTCCGTCTCTTCTTCCTCCTCCTCCTCCTCCTCCTCCTCCTCCTCCTACGCCTCGTCTGTCTCCCTAATACTTTAACGTTCAAGGACAGAGCAGTCGTTTGGCGCTTTACGGTGGAGAGGAGCCGGGCTGAAATGATGGTTTGTTCTCCTTCGTGTGTGTGTGTGTGTGTCTATTTGTTTGAAAGAGTGCACTTCATTTGTGGGAGTTGCAGAGCTTGAAGAGATAGATGTTGAGAGAGAGATGGCTGTTGGGAGGTGATGACCTCAGAGGTGTAGAGATTTAGTGAAGTGTGTAAGGGCAATGCGCTCTTTTGACAAATGAAGCGGTGTGTATTTCAAGTCAGGAGACAGCAGCAATTCCAGCAGCACAACAGCAAACAGAGAGTGTATTGTGTTGAAAGTAGAGTCCTCACTTTAGACTTAGCTCTTTTCCAAAGTTTCACTTCACTTTCAGAAATCCAATCCTCTATATTTCACTCTCCAGTAAAATCCTTGACGATTCCCAGCCCAAATATTTGATTGTGAGGCGTGTGCATGTGTTGAATTTGCTTGATTTGTCCAGCCATGTAATTGAATGTAATGATGGTTTAATGGAAACCACACACAGGCAAAAGCATTTGATGCAAACCCACATTTGTGTTGTCCCCGCTAAATTCGCCACACATGCAAGACAGACAATCCTCCCCGACATCCCTGGCATGCTGCGGCTGTATAGCATTTTTATTTTCTTCTATCCCAAACAAAGCCCATAACTCAGGCACCCCTTTCCCTCCAGATCGTAAAGGCCGGGGTGACAGGAATGAAAGGCGAGTGGCTGTTTTATGGAGAGGAGTGGGATGTAAATCCCCCAGGTCGTCAAAAGAGGGCCGGCTTGGCTGCGAAAGGCCTCCATGACTCTGGGGTGCAACACAAGAAAAGGGAGTGTAGCAGTCAGGACCTCCACGGGTACACCATTATTAAACCAGGAGTTTCATTTGTCAAATACTGCTAGAAAATAAACAGCTGGCTCGTTGCTTCATTTCAGCCATCTGCTTTTTTGATTATCGATTACAAAAAAAGTTTAAACTTTTTCCGCACATTTCGGGAGCAGTGGCATCTGCTTCAAAGTTCAAACCGATACGAATACGAGTAAGATGCCTGTCTCTGTGGCAGTCCCACCCCTGCACCCTCCACTCAGAAGGAACAAAAGTTAGTTTTTTCTTTTTTTACTGATACTAGCACAAAAAAAAAGCAGAGAACAAGAGCTGCATGTTAGAGTACAGAGAAGAGCGACATCTGTACGGTTAAAACATTTTCTTAATACCTCAAACAGACATTTACAAACCCTGACTTGAAGCTGGCAACTTTTTAGAGTATCATCCTCCACCTCCCTACATGGCAGCCATCTTTTTTTACTGCTAAGAAGCATTTTTCACAGCACTTTTTGAGAATATTTCTTATTTTACTTTTTTGAACACTATTATTATTATTATTATTATTATTCTGTGATCATTGTTTCTGACCAAAACACCAGGACAAGTTCCTTATGTGGGTAAACTTCCTGAACAATAACCCAATCTATCTATCTCTCTCTCTTACAGTCTCGGGGATGGCATGCACAGAACAGTGATGCAGTTTTATAAACCTTGCACTTGCACACTTTTATGCATCAGTCTCTTTAATGATCACAATCCACCTGTACAAAATTCATCCTCTAATTCCACTGTCTACGTGCTCACATTTGTTCATAAATGTTCAATGCACAGCACCTTACAAATAAAAATGCATATAAATAAGTCTAAAGACTTTCTGGTGACTCTCAGCAATAACAGAGAGGAAAAATGGAGGTGCCTGTGGATAATACAGAGGATGGAAAGCACATATTGTTTATTTGTCCCAGTAGGAGGGTCACAAATCAGATTAAAAATCAGACAAATCAGTTCTGCCACCTTGCTGCAGTATTGACATTAAATCAGAGTTTGGTTTACTTGTCAATTCCCCCTGTTTCCCGCCTTGTGTTTTGTTTGTGTACTCTCCTCATAAGTAAGACCCCAGGCTACTCTTGCGCTTGTGCTGTATGAGCATTTACACCGGATCTGGAGGTAAACAAGCAGGTAAAAAAAACCCTATAAATGCCTAATCTTTGCGTCTCCAGGACCCTCTCTTCGTCTTCGTCCTCTTCTTCTGCTAACTAGCCTTGTTGGGTGACCATAGGTGCTGAGAGTTTGCTCTGCTGACGAGCACAGTGACTGTATTTATGGCTCTTTCATAGGTCCTGCATGAATTATGCATGAGATCTCATTGTGGCGCATGGCGGAGCGTTGGTTGTAAATCGATAGCTGTTCACTTGGACTGACACAAATGATATCTCCCTTAAGCAGCTCCCTCATCCCTCTCCCTCCCTCCTTCTCTTTTTTTTCTTGCCTCTCGGTGTCTTGCTGTCATTTTACACCTCGTCCTGGGATAATAATGTTTACCAATGCAACATCACTCGTCCCCGAAAAACACATGTGAGCAAAAGGCAGGATTAGGGGAGCTGCGATGAGCACATTGTCATGTGAGACGGGATAAACAAACATGTAAATAAAGGCTTTTCATTGCATGAAAGGAGGAAAAAAGAGAGAAACACACTGACTGGAGCTTGTCTTTTCTGTTTCTCACCATTTTAGTGGAGTATTTAGAGAAAGGAGAGTGACTGATGTAATGGTGTGTAACAGCTGCACGCTCTGAGAAACGGCGAAGCCTGAAATTTTGTACATTAGATGCCATAAAAATCTTAATGGAAACATGCATCCCCTCATAAATACATATATTTCTAAGTCTATGACCTTCATAGAAATGAACAACAGAAACAAAGAAGGAATTTTCAGATTTACAGACAGTAGCGCACTAATAAGATAGAGTGACCATATTCTGGCCACGAGAAGGCCACGACTACGCAGGGTGGAGTCCTGCAAGGTAATTTTGAGAATTTTTCGGGTTGGGTCGAGTGTTTTTTAAGCGCTTCTAACTCAGTAAATCTATGTGACACAAACTCAAAACATTCATATATATAATGCCAGACATTTGACGGATTTTATAAACTCCCCCAGACAAGACTAGACAGCCCGGACAGCCCCCCAAAAAAGAGTACATGTCCACGTAAAAGAGGCCATATGGTCACCCTAAATATGAAGACTAAAAGCCTAACCATAACACCACAGAAAGCAGCATATTTTTCATGTTTGGTCCTTTTTTCACGAGAAAGGGTAAAGGAAATGCTCACAGGCTGTTTCTGTAACAAAACCTTTACATGTGAAAGTTATCCCAGCATTTCAGTCACTAAGTACCCAACAAATCATCTTTCTTACCACAAATCCAGACTAGCGCCTGCATTTGTTTGCACTGTAAGCACACAAAGGGACTCAGAGCCTCTGCTGACGCACCTGTTTTGTAGGTCAGAGGGGTTACGACCTGCAGGGAAAGGGCAGAGGAAGTGTGTGTCTGTGTTTATTGACTCAAACTGTCCCTCACATTGTGTAGCTGCTGGTTTTTCTCCGTGTCATGCCCTCCGATTTTCTTACCCCTGTTGAGCGCTCTCACAGACCCCAGTTGTCTTAATCCACCTGGCTTTGGATCTCAACTTCTCAAATGCCGGCAAGTAAACTGGTCATAACTCATCTCACACACACACCTACACACACTTATACTCAAGAATCACACAGCTGCCCCAACTCCATAGGCTTTCTCTGGTGAGCCATCGGCGCCGTATTACATTAAAGGTCAGTTACAGTTTCCATTTTAGCGTCTCCTTCTGCCGGTAACACGCTGTGAGCCAAATAAATTGCAGGATTGTCTGTCAGGCCGACCGTTTGATTTTCCCGGATAAAGGGGGGAAGGTTTGAGCTCAGAGGTCGCCCCCTCTTCCCTCCCGCTGAAGTCACACCTTGCATGGGGAAAGTGTCATCATGTACGGCAGCTTAACTCTTGAGTGTGATCTGTCAAGGAGAGTGTAAAGAGTGAAATAAGACCTTACTGATGCAACGGTCTCATGTGTGTCGGCATGCTTTATGTGTGTGTTCCTGGATTAGATCACAAGCTGTATAAAGGATCGATGACATGACAGCCGCTTAAAGTCCCACTCCGATCGTTTTTTTTTTTTTTTAGTACTTGAAGTGTTCTCAGTGGTCTTTAAGTTTTGATTATGAAGTTTTTAGCCAAAACCTGTGTTATTTTCTAAGGGTGTTTCTTCTGCAGAATTCGCCTCTGAGTTGTGGGCGGAGACAGCACTGCTCTGCACACTCCTCTTCACGCTAGCTTGTTTTTGGGGACATGATAAAAGTTAATATCATAATTAGCTTTCTTACAAGCATTTCAATCCACTAATGCACACGCTTGTTCCACTATTGTCCTCTCTACCTCTCCATCCCCGGCCTGCATAGCGGGGCCCCGGGGGCAGAGCTTGGATTTGCTATGTAGGAAATTTCACTGTTTCTGAACCTGCTGTTTGGGTCTGCCAGATATCTGCCGATTTTAATGAATAAATACTTGAAATGCAATTTTGCACTTATTTTTCTCATGATATATCCTGAAGCATCAGAAAAATGCCATATGAGCGTGTAGACAATAAGAAAAACATGATTTTCATCGAAGTGGGTCTTTAATAGAGAGAAGAAGTGTTTGTCCAGGGGCTGAGCCAGGACCCCAAACCCCATCGAAAAACAACATAGAGTCCACAGGAAGACTGTGATAGCATGGTGGGTCTGTATCCGTACAGACTCTGAGCAAAATAATCCTACTGTCTGTGTCGGAACCAGATATTCTGTAAATGAGTCTCATGAATATTTGTTGCTTCTCTTAAATTGTTGGTCAAGTTTGGCTAAAAAAACAGCTAAATTTCCCTTTAACACAATGGCACTTCAGTGGTGATTTTGCAGTGTTCACGTTACTCCAGAGGCCTGCTGAGCCCCTCGTCTAAAAAAGCTGAGAGAAAAGCCAGAGGTCTATTTTTAAGTGAACTGGATTCCACAAAGTGAGCACACTTTCTTCTTCTCTTTCTCCCTCCCCTCTTCGCTATCCCCCGCGGACATGTTAATCTCCACTGTTTCAGGGACTGAGTTACCCGTGCAGACACTTTATTTAGACTAGGGAGAGAAAGAGGGAGAGTAAGCAGAGGCTGGAGGGAAGGGAGTAATATTGGTGAGGGAGGCGAAGGGTAATATAAGGCCATGAAACAAATTACACTTTAGCATAAAATTCATCACACTGATTTATCAGTGTTGGTTCGTGTTGTTTACCAGATGAAAAATGTTTAAGTGTCAAGTTATTGCTGAGTTAAGAAATGCATTCTCATTTCAGTGAAGCGCATCCAGACAGCTTTTTTCAAGACTTTGTCGGCCTGAGGGTCACAGACTGTCCTCCACCCGCAGACACGAACCACATGAGCCTTCGAATTTAATGAAAATCACCAGAGCCACGGCTACAAGACATTGGGCTACGAATGAAACAAAGCTTTTTTTCAATACACGTTTTCCCATCCAGTCAGCTGTGGGATAACTCTGGTTTATTTTAATTTCCAAATTTCTATTGAGTGTCATAATTTTGTCTTTGACATTGGGATCCACTGCTCTAAAGGATCATATTCAGCCTGGATACTGATTTAGTCAAATGAAAATCTTTATCAGATCTCTTAAACCTCCCCTCTATTTTTTTATTCCCATGGACATCTAAACCTCGTACTCACTTTGAGGTGTTTGACTTTACTGTTCTTTAAGAAATGTCGTAAATATCCAGGGGACTACATAGACCCTTAAGTTATTAGACCATAATGGTCTTTAAAGGAAGGCTCTTGACCCAGTTTAGTTGTCAATTAATAAGGAGCAGGTCTTGGTTTCCATGGTGATAGTAGAGCCTTAAGTTCCCCAGATAGGTCCTTCGACCTGCAGTAATGATGGCAAGGATATGGCAGTATTAATAGCCGCACAACCTCTGGGTCGACCTGAACTGAGAAAAATGTTTATGCTCAGAAAAGTAAAGCTCAAATCTGAAGTGAAGCGTTGAGTTCATGCTGTTTCAGTCGTGTCATTTGACAGATTAGCAGCCGTATCCTTCTGAGTATCGCTACTCCTTTTTCTTTGAAGTTGTGTGATATAGTCTATGTTCGCTTTGACCCTTATAATGGACTGTACAATCAGTGTCACGGGTTCAAAAAGTGCTGGCAGGCTAACCACTGAACCAAAGCACAGAGCACTTCATTCAATTAGCTCAAATTTAACCTTATTATGTCCAAGCCATGACTCCATCAGAGCAGCTGTGTGTCCCTCTGGGTTCAGAAGAACCCTTTCTGCATCTTTGCTTTGCATGGTTCGTGTGTGTGTGTGTGTGTGTGTGTGTGTGCAGCACTTTTGCTGTTCATGCAGTTGTTTTGACATTTTTACGTTTCCAGTGTTGCGTTTGTTTTGGCATATGTTTCTGAAGGTTTCTGTGAGTTTCTCTTGATGCAGATTGTTTGGCCTTGTCAGCCACTGTGCTTTTGGGATTTGAAGGCAAACAAGAAACTAGAAAAGCAACGTTGTGCAAACTCTGTCAGATATACACACCATTAGAAAAACACAAACACACTCCCTCAAACACACAAAGAGGGTTTGTTGTTTTCACTTTTCCACCTGCAAGCACATTTCTGCAAACACAGACACTCTGCTGAGGTCCTGCAGACATGTTTACTGAGCGTCCTTAGACACACACACACATAAGGACACACACACACATGCTGCAGCAGCCGGGCCGGTCAGCCTCGGTTGTTTTTGGACTCATGGGTCTAGTTAGCTCAGGCTCGTATCAATCATTTAGCTGGTGCAGACTGGCTCACTCAGTGGGGTCGTGAAAGGGTGAAGAACCCCAGAATCCTTCACTCTAAGGGGGGTTAGAGGAGCAGGGACAGTGGGGGTCCGAGTCCAGAGACTGAGTGATGCTTTCAATTGAATAAAAGGAGGCAAGCGACTGAAATAACTACAAATAAAAATGCAATGAGAGAGCGGCTCTGCTTATTACACAGCTTCATTAAGAGCTCAGTTTTCAGTGTCCAAAGAGCACACGCTGAGCTTTGGTCCTTCTGAAAAACACACTTCTGCTCCACATCAGATGATATCATTCTGTGTGATCTCTACTTCTGCAGTTTTTGTTGATTTTTAATTAGCAAGAAAAAGGAGAAACATGCCAAAAATTACCAATCAATAATTTAGAATAACTAAGGATCTGGAGCCAATCCCAGCATGCATCAGGCAGCAGGGAAGAGAAAAACAAACACGTTGGCTGTTCGTCCCGATGCTTACACAAACACTAATGCCATGAGTCTGAGTTATTTAGTTTTTTTCTGTTCCGATGACCTGTTAGTCTTTGGACTAACTATTATTGAAGTGAAGTAAAACAGTCAGTGGCTGAAAGACCGTATGTCCTGCTTAGACCTTGAGAAGATTCGTTACTTGGTTACAGGCACTGACGGGAAATTCGAAAGATCTGGGGACCTTTCCTAGACCACATTCAGAAACTTTCATCATTTTGAATCAGCACTCTCCTCTTGTAGTTGTTTTCCTTTTGAAATATATTTCTGTGATGTTTTATAATCATACAATTCAAATTCTTATCTCTTTTATGGACTTTTTCAGTTTTCAGAAACTTGACTACATATGTATTTCTCTTTACGCACAGTAGTTCATTTAACTTGCTCTCTTTTTACTTTTTATTTCTCAGCATCTCAGTATTTCATTTTACCCATGGTTAATTCTCAGTCTCCACAAAAGTGTCTGATCTACTGGTCTGGACAAAGTGGATTTCCTCCTCTGGAAGGACACAATCTACTGCTTTTATGGTTATGTGGCTGTCATGGTAGAGACAAGTTGTTATCACGCAATTGCATATGAACCCGCGGGTTCTTGTGAGTCCTTGCTAGTCCTTGCTGTCTGAAATTTGCCAGGAAACACGCCTCACAAATGCATCCGGTAGGAATTGGTGGACGGTGAAAATTGCTGCCGTTTTGCAGCAGAGCTGTTCCATATGTGGTAGGGATTGCCTCTAGTAAGTTGACCGATGTCAGATTTAGTTTGTATTTCCTATATGGGGACCACTGCTTCACATCAACTTCACACCCATTTTTTTATACAGTCTGTGATCTTTGCATGATGAATTTAGCAAGCAAAAATTCTGCATCTAGGTTGAACTCAGTGTCAGGTTTGTGTTTTTTAAATTCGTAAGTTGTGGAGTCATTTTTGAGAATATTGAGCATTTAAGGCCTGATGCACATGCAAAAATACAAAGTTCTGGGTCATGTTAAGGCCTCCAGATAAGTGTTGGAACCATTTTCCTTTTTTGCTTGTCTCTGGCGCGGCTGTTCATTGTGCAGACATGTCAGGGCATTTTGACCAACCACAATCAAGTATTCAGCACGGCCAGTTGATTAAAAAAACAGAGTAATAAGAGCTCATATCAAACCTTGTTAACAAACATAAATTCCAGCCCTGACAGAAACTCTAACATGCTGTTGATTCTATTCTGTATTTCTCTCCTCATGGTCTTATCACATAATGTCGAACCACAGTCTGCTGACATTAACGTTATTTTAATTCCACCCTCCATCCTGCTGAAAACAGAGGATTAAGCCTGTGTGAATCATGTGTGCATGCACGTATGTCCACGTTTACATGTCTGCGTTTCATGTGTTGTAGCTGCACATGTGAGCAGTGATAGGAATCTCACTGCTGTCATCAGCCTGAAGGCCGACTCGGTGCTGAACACAGAAAATCCCTGAGCCCGAGCTCTCCGTCTCCTTTAATCTGGACTCCTTTCTCTCACCGCTGGGCTCCAACCAGCAGATGATGGATGGTCTCTGTGTCAGAGGGGCTTTTTCTTACTTTGTTTCACTCCTTCATTCCCTCTCAGTTATATTTTTTTTTTACTTTTCTGCTCCAACTTTTGAAATAAAACAAGGCCAGGAGTGAAGTTTGGATCAATTGAAAGAGTTTGAATTGAATCACCTTACTTCTACTTTTATCCACAGGTTTCTTTTCGTCTCCTTCTCCCTCTGTCTTTCTTTATACCCATAGCTGTCACTCCATCTCAGTCTATCAGGCAGTTATCAGGGGATTTTGAACATTGCTTTCAGTGTGATAACCAGGTTTCTGCTTGAGCTGATAGCACACTGGACCTCCATCAAGCCGTCGTCCAGAGACAGAGAAGGGGGAGGAGGGGGAGGGTTGACTTGATTAACCTTCATCTTGCTGGCAGAGATGGAGTCAAATCCTCAACACCCACTCTTCGCTTGTGCACTTTAACTCCTCAACCTCAACACGGGACTCTGAGACAAGAGACACAACGGATGGTGAGTGGTCTACTCTGGAGATTAGCATGTTTGTGTTTGTGTGTGTTCAGCAGGGTCGAAGGTCAGACTATCAGGTGGAGCCAGCAGTTTGGATCCAGTGGATCTGGATAAGGAGCTATTCGGTGGTCAAGTAGGCGACCTCCCTATGCCTTCGTTTTGGTGAGAGGCCACCCGGCGGCAGCCTTTGGCCTGGAGGTGAGATTAGTCTGGAGGAGCTGATAAAGCTTCACGTTCCCCCAACAATCAGAGAGGATTTAGCTCTGAGGAGAGCAGATGAAGCAGGTGGAGAGGGATGCAAAGGCTGCTTTCTTTAGGGTCATTTTATTAGACTGCAGCCTACTTGGGGCAAAAACAGCAGGGCTGCAACCAAAGACTGTTTTATAGTCAACATGATACCAGTCATTGGGATACTTTGAGAAATTAGAGCACGATTAATATCAGATTTCATTGATTGTTTAAACAAAATACTAGAAGGCACCCATTAAAAAGACATTGAAGCTGATCACTTTGTGCTTTAACTTTGATTAACTCTGAATATAGGTTTTAGATGTTTCTGCCCCTCCTTATGACTCCACCTTTAGCCACGTTTAATATTCTGCCATTATTGTTGTTGTGAGTAGCTATAACAGTTTACCATGTTACCCAGCCACCCATAATACACTGGGGTGTCTGACCGTGGCGGCTGGTATAATCTATGGCAGTTTGACAGAACACAATGTTTAAACTGCTCTAGAGTCTGAAAATAATCAACCTAGACCCACCTTTTCCAGCTGTCTTTGTACAGATGTTTAGTCCGTACTAGGGTTTGATCGCGGTTTTCACACCGCCACAAGCTAACTGCACCAACTTAGCGAATAAACTTGAGTCTAAAAAGGACAGGACAACAAACCAACAGATCTCACTCAGCCTAAAACTGTGTAGATGGATGGTAAGTTGGATGTATAATCACCACAAAGTTCTGTATTTCACTTGTCGCCCTTGCATATAAAGTTAAAATGTCCTCTGCTGTTTTTAAAGACTCTCGACTTTCACATGGACATCTGTTAGTCATGTATGCTTTTGTAGATTTACAGTCCCCTTGAGTAAAAGTCCTATGATCCGCTTTGACGCCCGTCTATCTTCACCCACCTCCCTCTCTTCTGTCTCATCCTCCTCCTCTCCCTGTGTTCTCCTGTTTGTGTTGTTTTTCGATTCTCATTTATCTCCCCTTCGTTTCCATTACTCACAGGAGACTGACGGGAGGAAAAAGTTGCCTTCAGGCCAGGCTGCTGAAGAGAGAAGGTGTTTCTTCAGTAAGTGCTTTTTCATGTTGTCGGGTGTTTCTCTGCGATATTCTGTGCCTCTGGTGTCTGCTGAGGCAAAGCTGTGTTTGACGGCTTTGCAGATGGCGTTTGACTGAGATCTGAGTGATTCCAGCTAAATTAAGACACTTCCTGTTATGCTGCCAGCGTTTGCTTGTTTTGCTCCAAAGTCTGCATCTTTTACACCTTTTAGGAGGTGCATATGCGTCGTCCATCAAACGTCCTCTGAAGGAAAACCTCACAGACCAGACACAAGGTCAGCTCTGTGCTGGAAGCCTTTCAATCGATATGCTCAGACGTTTGAGAGACTCGGCCCGGCTATTTTCCCACTGACGCTTTCAGCTCCCTTCCGCTGTTTTCTTCCTTTTTTTTTTCCCCATACATCACATCAACTCTCGGTTTTCTTCCACAAGCGTCCTTCATCATCATAGAAATACCAACTGCTCACCTGAAGAGTTGAAAAAAAGCTGCTCACAGTTGGTTGGAGCAGCTGCGGATTAAGACTGAAGCATTTGGATTATGGATTATAATATACCACAGACTTAGGGATGTACTCAAGAACAATAATACAAAGGACGAAGTAATCAAATGTCAGTGTGAAGGGTGGAGCGCCATTGTGATTGGCTTAGAGGACAGGTCAGGAGGGCTTTTATTGCCAGGAAATTGAATTATGAAACAAAGTGGTCCCATGAAAAGAGGTGAAGTGACAGTTTGGAGCTGCGGGGGTTAAGCCATCCTGAAGGGCACACGAAAGTTTGGTAATTAGATTGTCTGACAAAAGCTTGTGTGTTTCTGTGTGTGCACAAGAGGATCCAAGTGACTTGGACTGGGATTGTTGACTCGGGCTTCATTTGAGCTCTTTTGTGCCTCGAAGTGTGAAAGGGTTCACTGGATTGTGGCCTGATGGAGATATCGCAGTCTCAAGGTGATGCCGTGGAGCCCACAAATCCTGTTTCCAGTCAAAAGCGTGAATTCTGGATGATTCTGCAAAACCTGGGATTAGACTCAATGTCAAGTCTGTTCAATTCACACTTTTTGTTTGACATGGCAGCCGGAGAAAGGTTACGGCTGAGGAATGTAGGAATGGCTAATAATGACAGCTATGGAGCAGTGAGACAGGCTGTACTAGTTCCTGGACCCAAATCTTTTATTATTGGGTATCTACTGTCCTATTATTCACCCAAATTACTCTAACTGCTTTCAAATCAAGCAGCTCATCTAATAGACATGATAATGGTGAGGTGAAATTCTGATCTCAGGACAGCCCTCTTCTGATTTTTCCCTTGTTGCTATCTAAATGTAAGAAGAAGGAGAAGCACCCCCTCACAACACATTATCTTTGCTCGTTTAAAGAATTTGAAAACGGGCGAACGACCACTTTAGGTTAGGCACTGTCAGGAGCCATGTTTCCTTCAGCATACATCACCCTACAAGTATGTCTTTGGACCTAGACTCCAGAGTTTAACATCTGTGATAAATAAACTCACTAATTACCCAAACACTAGATGGTCCTCTTCCATCTGTGCTTGATTTCTACCTGTAAAAAAAGGATAATGGGCTGTAAAAGCTGGAAAGCCCTTTTCTTAGGTCCTCTCCCGCAGAGGCTAAAGGAAGAGGAGAGGCTTTGTTGACAGAGGTGTTGGATTGTGCTGATTATACGAACACAGAGCCAGCATTCCTGTCAAATCGGACACTACCTGAACTTTTAACTTGACTCGCTTTAGTTTGCCAAGTCTGGCAGCCAAACTCTTCTTTCCATGTGACCTCCAGAACACTATGTCTGGGTTTCTTTTTTCTCTCACTTTGTTTGTTTCTAGCCTCCTTTTTTTTCTCGCAGTGAGGCCAGACTTCAGCACCTTTCCTGGTTTACCTCCCAACATCTGTTGCTGTTAGCTGCCAGTGCAATCCCCTTTGATTCGCCACAATAGCAGCTCGTGAAATAGTAATATCAGTCTGACAGTCTTTTTTATTTCAAAGCCCTTAAATTGTACATTTATCTGGTATTAACTCCTGTTTTTCTTTTTTTTTTATCTTGCATTATACAGTATATTGACAGTAGTGCAGACTTACTGGCTAGCGTTGATTTTGCACTCTGACTCTGGAAAGCAGAGGTGGTTCTGACTACTTTCCTAGGGATATTCAAGTACCTCAAACAACCCTCAGTAAAAAAAAAACTTTTCAAAGAATAATTCAAGGTTGTCTGAGGATAAATTAAATGAACTTTGGTGCTCCTCTAATCAGTCTTTTGCATCTTAATATGAACAAGATGGACTGGCACCAAATCTTGTTCAGATATTCACGGATTCCAGACTTTCCGTCTAACTGCTGCTTCCAAGGCCAGAATAAATTCTTCATGTTGAAAAATAACCCTGGTGTATACATGGATGCTTTGTAAGTTCAGCACAATTTATTAATTTGCATGTTTTGATCATTTCAACATGATGCCAAGTTGTCAAAAGTCTAAAATACAAATGTTCCTTTGCCTGGCCAACCTTCTTTCGTCTTTCTCTCTGACTTGCCAACAATCTGCACGGGAGGCACACTTTCCTTCTGAGGATGATTAACATCTCCCACTGCAAACCTCAGAGCACTAATGTATGCATGCCCAGAGCAGCTGATTTCTCAGAAGATGGGTAAAACACAGTTTGGCTCACCGTTCGCCTGAGCTCTGCTTCTAAAACTGCCCATTCCCCTCCAACCTCTCTCCCAGGCCCTTATCAAAGACTTGGGACAATCAGCGATTTATCGCTGCTGGAAGTCAGCACGGGAAGCAGATGTTGTTCTGATTAAACACACATCGACATACAAACACCGAGCCAAGTAAGTGGCCTTCAGGCCTGATGGGAGTAGAGAGCCAAGACTCAGAGTCCAGAGTCATGATATCTGCTGCTGAGCGTGTTGCAGAGGAATAAACTGCCTGCAGATAGATCAGCTCTTTGTTCACAGTGGGTGTGTTTGGTTTATATTGATTACAGAAGATAAGTAAACTGACAAATATTTACTAGAGTTCATTTTGTGAGTGTGTGCACTTTATTTATATGTTTGTTTATTTTGGGGTGGGGCTGATTACTTTTACTGTATTGCATTTGAAAAACAAACATGATTTCAAAAACAAATATCACACAGAGCAGAATTTAAAAAATGTTCATGTTTTCTACTTTTTCTCTCAATTCTTTTAATTTTCTTTTTTGTGATCTGATCCAATTATTAATTGTTTGTGTGACATTCTGTATATGTTCGCCGACAAGCGTTGTAATGATCCATGTTCAATGCATATACAGATATGGATTAAGGCTGTCAGTGCTCTGTGTTCATCTGTATTTTTGCACATCCTCTGCTTGTTTTTATCTTGCGTACACAAGTTGCATGCATGAGTTCATGAATGCATAAATATTTCCTTTGGATTTTGATGGCTCTGTACCAAAAACACATACAAAAAAATACACATGTATTATTTCAAATTAATACATATGTTATATTTTGTGAATTTAAATTCTCCCTCCATATGTTTCAAAACATTTAAATGATGACACTGACCACCAGTGATGGGAATTATGGCTCTTTTCAGTGAGCCATATCATTTATCTCACCAAAAAGGGCCGGCACTTTGGGCTCCCAACGGGCTCTTAATTTTACCACTTACATATTTTCTAATTCAGCCAAATTTAGCATTGTTTGGCTTGTGATATGTACATATTTGAACACATAACCTCTTAAATAACTCAATACATCATTTGTACTGAAGTATTCACAAGTAAAAATCCCATTTTCTAATATCAGTGAATTTCTGTAGCCAATTGTTTTCTTCGCCTTTACAGACCCTTGTAACTCTCTGAAACCACCCAATGAATGCACTGACTTGCTTGTAGAACCACTCTGCAACACAAAGCAGATAGAAATCCCATTCCACCTTGTAGTGTTTTTCTATGGTGTGTGTGTGTGTGTGTGTGTGTGTGTGTGTGTGTGTGTGTGTGTGTGTTGGGGGGGGGGGGTCCACATACAGCAGGAGCTGGCTCCCATCGTTCACGTTAATAAGCCCACTCTTTGAACCGGTCCATTCTTGACCGACACGTCACTACTGACCACCTTCTGCAGGCTGACTCTGATTTCTTCTTTTCCCTAACAGTGCATAAATAATATCACAGCTACTGCATGTCAGAGTCATGGTCAGCACCCTCCCCAACTGTATCTGTGCTTTGATTTAAATAATGAAGTTATGTCCTTTATACAGAGTTCAAGAGTGACGACGACAGAGAAAGGCAGAGGATCTGCTTGATGTGCCTCTCTGGCCTTTACCGTGGGTTACGTCAAAACCCTTCATTATTTGCAATCATGTGGTGCAGTAATCAATGCAGGATAGTTCGGTAATGATCCCTCCTCTGCAGATTTAATGATGGCAATAAACCGAGAGTATACTGATGGCTTTTCCATTTGCCTTCGTGAATGTGTGTGTGTGTGTGTGTATAAATGAGTCAGAGGGAGATCATTGTATTGTTTCTACTTTATTAAGAATGCACTTTGGCACCCCTTTATTTTCTTCACTTTAGGCTATTATTTTACAAACTAGATATAAAAGGACATAAATAAATGACATAAGTTACATGTACCTAGAGCTCATTGACAAAAACAAAATAAAACAAAATGAAACAAGGCAAAAAAAAAAAAAAAACATGATCATGTCAAAAAGAATTGTACAAAACAAGATTGCGAGAATGTTAGATCTACGGGACTAGATCATATGGCGTCAAAAGGCATACAATGACAAACATTAACTCCTGTGTTTTGTTAATTTTTTTCTTCTTTTTTCAAATTGTCCAACATTTAAGCAAAAGAAAAAAGTATTTTACAGTACATTCTGGTTTCCTTCTCCTTCCCAACATGCCTTGCATATTTCCATACAGGTCCTTTTGTCGAAAGATAAAACCCAAAAGAAGAGCACATCACCAAAAAAGGAGAGAGCAGTACAGCTGTATTAAGGACGGAGGTGTTTCTGTATTATATGAAACCTTACAAGTTCAGAAACATTCACATAAGTAAAGTTGAAAGAGAGAAAAGGTCAAAACAAACATCGTCCATTGGGTTAAACTTGTAGCTGTATGATGTGCTCTGGAAAAAAATGAAAATAACCAACACTTTTCCCTTCTTTGACACCTTTTTCTCACACTTCTGATCCTTTTTGAATTTCCACATGGAAAGGAAGAGTTCCCACGTTTCCGTCGCGACCTTTCAGGAGCTAGAAGAGGCTTTTAGTCACACTCGTCTGTGTTTCCAAAACCGTGTGTCCAGCCGCAGCCGCTGCCAAAGCAGACATGGGTTGCATTCCAGAAAGCGGTTTTATAAATGCTGTAACTGAGTAGAGTTCGCACGATCGGAGCGACACAGTTTACATTTTTTTTGTTTGTTTGTTTTTGTTTGTTTTTATTTATTTTTCAGAGGACTCAAAGCAAAGAAAAAAAAAAGTCCTGATTTTTTTTGCTTTTTTATGTCAAACATCTGTTACCTCCTCTTTCTCCACAGTGGCATGAAAACAGACACGATTACTGATAGTACTGCAAAGACGTCACTCATACAGCTACACACACTCGTGCACACTTCATCACGTCCACACGCTCAAATAAAACAGTTGTTACGCTACATGCAAACAGAACAAAACGATAAAAAAGTCACAAAAGGAAGTGAAACTTTCAAAATAAAGTACATTATCCGCTGGAGCAGGCCCTCTGGATTATATTACATTCTTCTTATTGTCTCTTTTTATGATGCTGTTAAATCATTCATAGGAATTCCAGTACATTGCTGAGTGACCACAGGAACGTGAAGGTGGACGTCCCAGATGCTTGTGGATGAATTTGTCGTCTTAGTGTCAGAGGGGAAAAAGCAGGAGGAGGAGGAGGAGGAAGACAAAAGGAGAGAGGCTGAGGAAGAATTCGGATCATGGCGAGCGAGGAGCGGGGCTGGGATCCATCAGGATGGACGGCAGCAGCTGTGGTGAATAAAAAGAGGGGAGGAAAAAAGGGAGGCTGCATCAGTCATGGTGGTTTTGAATGTAAACAATTTCTACTTGGCATGCAGGCCCGACCAGCAATACTGCTGCTCTGCAGCTCCGGCTCGACGGAACATTCGACTCATCTGCTAAACAAGATCGAATGCCAAAGCCGGAGCAGCCAGAGACTACGAGCGGCCGCCCTGCAGGGAGGAAATATGGATTTCGTGGCAGCAATGTATTAACTTGTGTGCACCACATGTTGTTGTGTGTATGTAATATGTGAAAGATGCCCTTGATTTATTGGCCCACATTGAAAGCACACAAATAGACATTTAACCAGCCAGTACATTAGATAAATACTCCTTCTGCAAATTCTAGACGGTCAAACCGCTCTGTGTTTTTAAAGTGAAATAAATCCCTCTGTATGGTTTCGAATTTCTCCAGCAGGAAATATGGATTAATTACAGCGCAAAGACTTTAAATATTTATCCCAGCTTTTGTTTGGTGCTCAAAAAGCCTTGTGAAGCAGTTTGGATTATTTGTTGAACATGAAGTTAACGGATTTATGCTGAAAGATTTATTGTTTTGTGATTTTTTAAACTCAGCCCAGCAGCATTGATCAAAGAAGGATCGGCCAGATACGAAGATTACTACTTTCTGAAATCACATTTGCAAATGATAAATAGATAAAAGGAACAAAGATTAATCTGTGACTATTTTTATCGATCCATAAACCGTTTCTCTGCAACATTTACAGGATTAAATGTCTGAAGTTTTAGGGTTTTAATGCTCTTTAAAATAACTGATGGGAAAACTGTGATGTATCATCCACGAAAAGATTTGTCTCTTATACGTGGAACATCACAATCCAGTTCCCTAGAGAGCAGGTTTTCCTATTTCCCTCCTTCTATTATTGCTTCATGCCAGACAGAATAAAGCGCTGATTTCTCTTTGCATATTGAAGCACCACAGGCATCCAATGTGCTGCCTGGATGCTGTCAATATGTTAGCATTGTTCTGGGATAATTTAGGTAAAATTCAAGCTCGCATATTAGTTATAGGACAACGAGAATTAAAAGCTGATTTTAAAAAGTCAAAATGGCCCTATAAAGAGCGGTCGGAGGGTCAAACAGCCGTCTCTGTTATGGAGCTAAGCTAACATTTCTATCACAACACTGTATGGTAGAGAGAATCATAGAAAGCCTAAAATGTTGTCTTGCTGTGCTGCTAGCACCAGAACAGAAGGGGTAAGAAGTCCGTAGATATTGTATTGTATATCAGCAACAGCTGCCAGTCAGCAAAAACCAAGACAGCTTTGGTCAAATGGGATTAAAAAAAAGACTGGACAGAGGCGATCTTTAATAAACAAGCTAAAAACAACTTGCTAGATAAACATTGGGTGTCTTGCCTCCAGTTAAGCCCCACCTACCAAACACACCATACTATAGGGTTCTATTTGAGCATTTAATAAAGAAATATAACCAAGGAATAATGAATGGTAGTTAGGGTTCTTACAAATCAGTTTAAAGCAGTAGCTAAACACTGTGTTAACCAAATGGAGATGTAACTACTGCACAGATGTAGCGTCAAACTCTTTCAGACTGATTTGTCCGCAGTGACTCTTGAAAGGCCCCTCGGTTAAAACATAATGTCACTCTGTCACTCTGATCATCTTTGCAGGATAGAAAAGCTCACACGTTTGTCCTCAGGAAGCTGCCAGTCTCACAGAGGGAATGGATTTTAACGTGAGCTGCTTTGTCGCGCAAACACTGTTTTTAAAGGTAAGTACGGCAGTGTAATGTCACGTACCCCAAACTGGACCTTTATGTAAGACAAAACCACTTTTTCAGGTGTATTTTAAATGGCATTAATTAATTTTATTTCTCATTTCTTTGCATACAGTAAATAAATCTCAGAAAAGACATCTTTTGGGTGTTCAATCTATAAAAATCCTTCCTGTTACCATGGCACACACTGGTATACTGACCCCTAAACAAAGCCTAGCTAAAACACACAACTTCTATATCTCTAAAGTGTTGCAGAGCTGCAGTGGGCTGTTTGGCTGACTAGGATTCAGTGGTTGATTAATTTTTCCCATTAACATGCCAGCAGCATGAGACCCACAGACTGATCACAGACCAGCAGATATTGATCCGCTGTGGCTGCCTGAGGAGCTGCGACCGGCTTGTTAATTAACACAGAATCTGGTGCTGAGGGGCCTCTGATGAGAGACGGGGGGTGTAATGAGTCTTTTGATACACTTAGTCTAGACACCACTGATATAAATCGCACATTTCAATAACAAACAAAGGTTTAATTCCATATTTGTGTTTCCTTCATGGGGCCTTTTGTGCTGAGTTTGAGATTAATACTGCTGATTCTCACCTTGATGATGGTTGAAGTAATCCTCTTCTTCTTCTCTTGTTTAGTTCTTGAGGTTGATGATGATGCTGATTCAATCTTCATCAATTTTACTCTGTGTTGCAGCCTTTCGTCCAAAAAAATCCAAACTAGAAATCCTGCTTTTTAACTCCATTTGTGTAGCGTCCGATTTTTGAAGCAGGTGTAATTCTGGGGGAGAATCGGGGGTCTTGAAGTGGCTCATGTGGAGCTGAATGGAAGTATCCAAATAGCGTCTGTCTGAGGAGAAGGAGGGCATTGTTTCACTGGGAAGACGAGGGAGTGAGAAAAATACTCTGGAAGATCAGAGACACCCTTAGCAACATCCTGAGGGCAACAGAAGACAACGTCCAGAAGAAAACAAGGCCAGCAGCACCGAACGCTCCTCAAGATAAACCCCCCTCCCCCATGAACTACCATCTCTGCTCAGGTTCAACCCTCAACCTTTCAGAGGTTCATAGTTTATACACGAGCGTCAGGATCCTCCATTTAGTCTGTAAGATATCAAACAGATCCAGCTGAGAGGGAACAATGACGGCCTGCGAGTCCCACAGAAACGATTCATGTACAATAAACACAGTCACAGGAAATCAAAAAAAATCTGCTCCACGGATTATTCCAGAAAGAAAGTTCCAGAAAAAAAACTCTCTGCCCAACAGAAGAAAGAGAGAGGTACTGCTCCCTCCCTTCTTCGCTTTTCCTTCCAGACCATTAAAGGCACTCCAGATCGGCCTCTTGGAATCACTTTTCCAGCCGTCCCTCTGTCTGTCCGTAAATGCCGCTCTCACACAGAAGCGTCCCAATCTCCAAAACAACACGGAAAGGGCAAGTAAAGGTCTGATTACAAAAAGTGCCAGTTTCACCACTTTTTCTTCTACTTCAACATCATCTTTTCTTTTAGATCCAATTTAAAGTGCATGGATGAGGTAAACTATCTCTTCATAGTTTATTTGTCTCTTTTTTTATACTTAATCTTTTTTGTTATTTATTTTTTCATATGAAACAAAGTCGCTCTGCTTCCTTTTTTTTCCTTTTTTCTTTGTGATAATCTCAGACGGGAACCATTCTGCCTTGAATCTGTTGCATTTGCGACAGCATTCCCTGGACGCTGGTCAGGATCTTGTTCTGATGTGCTGCCGAGGAGATGCCTATGCGAGCCATGTCCCTGAAAAAAGATGAGGAGAGGAGGCTATTTTAGGATCGGACAAAAACAAACACATAGATGGACACAAAGTGATGGATTTTAAAGTCCTGTTTTCATCATCCATAACTCTCCGTTTCCTCCTGTCTCTCCCCCTTTGCCTCCCCACTCTACTCACTCTTGTGTCATGTGGACCACGGCCTCTGGAGTGGTGTATCCAGCGGCGGTGAAGTTGTCGCAGTATCTCTCCATGCCGATGGCCTGCAGCCAGTCCTCCACCGTACCTGCAGCTGATGATGCCTCAGGGCTGCCGGGCTCCAGCAGGGTGGTGTTGGGCCTGGTGGGTTGGAGGAAAGAACAGCAGAGACTGAGTTTTATGATCTGGAACTTGCAGTTCATGTTTGAAGCATCTGCACCGTGATGTCTGCAAGTGTCTGTGCAAACGGGCGATAAAAGTTACACTCTGTTAAAGTAGGTAATGATCCTCTGATTCATGACTAAACAGCAGCCGACGGGAATACGGGTTTTCCTGCTCCCTGACTAAGTCTGTTACACACATACACCTGGTGTGTGTGATGACGGGGCGCTTTCCACAAACTGTAAAATGCACCATGCAACATTTCTCTTTAGTTTTCTCCTGTCAGCAGCTCTGTCAGGTTCGGCTCTGTTTTGTATCCCTGTTTTGTGAAAACCCAGCCAAGTCAAACAGGGTTCCTCCTGAGAGCCATGGACACAGTTAGTTAATCCCTCCTTTTACCGAAAACACGCACCCTCGCCACACTTTGGTGGACTTTACCGCTCACCAGAGTTTTCATCACATTCAGATATTCATCTGCAGAATATGTCCCCCTTTTTCTCACGTCTTTCTCTCCGTTTCAGGAGCGCTGTGGGCCATTAAACATTTACACCGGGCTGCTGAGCCTGAGTTGGTGGCAATGTCTTCTCGCTCGGGTGACTCTCTCACTCTCCCTCTCTTTATCGCTCTGTTGTCTTTAAAAAAAGCATGTTGAGTTAAACTATGAGAACAGGATGTCAGACTCTTTAATAAGTCAGTAGGTGGGAAGATTATGCACGAAGATCCTTTTCCACAGACACACACATTCCTCTTCCCTTCTTGTAACAGTAAAAAGCTGCATTTACAGGATTCAGCTCCGCTAATTACTCCTCCAGAGCTCCTCTCTCGCGTCCCATTGGGCAAGAGTGTGTGTGTGCGTGCATGTACTCACACACTCATTAAAGTCAAACAGACTCCCCCTGGCCTGCGTCGAGTCTGTAAACACACGTAGGTCATTCTTAACACGTTTAGAGTAATGGTGCGGGAGCCGTGGGGTCATGTTTGTTTTTAACTCAGTGTTACATCGTAATTCTTCCCCGTTAGAGCGGCTACATTCCTGATTATACGGCTCCATTAAAGCGAGTTTGCAGAGAACTCCATTACAGAGGGTGCTTGTTGCTGGTAGATAATGTTTAATGGTGAATGTAAACAGCAGCAGAGTGGGTAAGTGTGTGAGTGTGTGTTTGCTTTAGTGCGAGAGGTCAATAATTTGCTGCCTAAATAAGCTGCACGTGTGTGTTTACACTGATTAATGTTTTATCATGACACACCTGCAGCTTTTCTCTTCAAACGTAATTGAATATTTCTGTGCTTTAGAGCTGTTTAGGACTATTGTATCATCGTAACCTCACTGTAACAGAAACAAACTGTGGGATTTCCCTAAAGTATGTGAAATATACACAAATTTACATGATACTGATATTTCTACCTTAGTCAATTTTTCATGTGTGATGATCAGAGGTCAAAGGTCACATTGATGTATTTATGTAGTTTTTTTTTATAAAACAAGTACGGCTGTGAATCTTGTTTCTCAAAATCTATCGAGATCATTCATCTTGCAACCTTTTCTTACTAATTGAGTCCTTATTTTTGGATCTTAATCACGTCTGCACAGCTAGACATGACTTTGGTGTACAAAGAGCAAAACTGACAAAAGATGCAAAAACATTCACCAACTTCTCTCTGGTAAAATGCATGGTTAAAATCACTTCCTACATAACTGCTTGTGGTTATAATACAACTATTAAATTGGGAAAATATGTTTTTAAATTTTCTTCTGACGCAAATTTAAGAACCCGATTATAAGAGATCCCTGTTTCAAGACTTAGTCTCAGGAAAATACTTGTCAAAATTATATTTTAGGGGGCATAGAATAAGGTTCTAACAAATTTAATTGAAAGTATCGTCTGTCAATGAAGCACCCAAGTATCTGTACACAGAAAAAGCACAGATGTACTGATACTAGAATAATCTGAAGAAGATGTGAAGAAGTTTTATCTTTTTTTTTTATTTCCACACTGAGGGCAGACTATGATGAGTCTCAGGCTGCACTGACCTTTGACTGGACTTTTACAGGTCACAATGACCAAATGTACAGCCTCTGAGTGGTCAACAGATCAAAACAAAGATAGCACCATCTGTCTGGCACAGCAACAGAAAATCACAAAATTTGACTAAAGTATAGCAAACCATCACAGATTATTGTAATTTTTGAGAGATTGAATCAGACTGTCTCTGATAGTACGCAGACCTTTAGAAGTTAGATTTCTCCTCCAGTACAATGTCTTCAATTTAACCAAACTTCTGCATGAGCGGATATTCTTCTTACGCTTTCCTCTTTAATTACAGTTTAATTTGCTCTCCTTGCTCAGCATGAATATTTGTTTTTTGATTTTGAATCTTAATTATTTTCATGTTGCTATTAAAATGATTTTAAGCTCTTGAGGTAGAAATTTAAAAACTATGTAGTTTATCTTTGTTTGAATATTTCACTCTTCTCTTTATCTTCTCTTAGATGACTGAGCTAGAATTCATTTGCCTCGTCCTTGATCATTGCTCTATCTGCCGTCCTCTCACCTGACGGCTGTCTCTCCTCCGGTCCTCTTCAGGGTGTTGGGGTTGCGGATCAGTTTGTCCAGCATGTTGACGATCTGTCCAAACTTCGGCCTGTCAGCTCTCTCTCTCTGCCAGCAGTCCAACATGAGCTGATGCAGCGCCACGGGGCAGTCCATGGGTGGGGGCAGCCGGTAGCCTTCATCTATAGCCTTGATCACCTGGACAGGACATCAGAGAGGCTGTAAGTCACTTTGTTTGTGTTTTTACCTCTAATGTTATAATCTTCATTTTTAATCACCTGGTTTTATGCAGCCACATCATTTCATTGTTATCACCATTAGTGGTTGTAGAAATGTGAAAAGCTGATTCACTGCTGCTGCTGTGCTAACACTCATGTGAGTCATTTGGTTTTGTATGAAATTGATAAAGTATTTACACATTTTTCCACCAGTACAGCCAACTGAGAGTTATCATTTTCAGCTTTCATTGCCTCCAATCCAAGTTTCATGATTGCCTGACTTACGTCTTGGTTGCTCATGTCCCAGTATGGTCTCTCGCCGTATGACATCACCTCCCACATGACAATGCCGTAGCTCCACACGTCGCTGGCCGAGGTGAACTTTCTGTAAGCGATGGCCTCAGGGGCCGTCCAGCGGATGGGAATCTTTCCTCCCTGAAATTGAAAACAGAGCTGATTAATGAGAGCTGACAAAGCTGACAAGTAAGGTGACACACACAGACCACTGACTCACACACTCGCATACATACACACACACACACACATACTCACCCTGGTGGTGTATGCAGCCTCTGGGTCATCCTCCAGCACCCGGGACATGCCAAAGTCAGACACCTTGCACACCAGGTTGCTGTTGACTAGGATGTTGCGCGCCGCCAGGTCACGGTGGACGTAGCTCATGTCTGAGAGGTACTTCATACCAGACGCAATCCCCCGCAGGATGCCGACCAGCTGGATGACAGTGAAGCGACCGTCGTTCTTCTGCAGGATAAAAATGTTTGAAATGTTTTATTATTGCAGCACATCTCAGGCATTTTAGATCTAATCTCAAGTATTTCGCACTCACACAACCACCATCATTATTTTCCCGCACCATTGATACTCAATCATACCAACAAAACTGACTCAATCAAAATAAATCGAGTGTAACACATTATAATGTACTTTTAAGTAACTATAAAGGCTGTTGTGATTTCACTTTGCCTCACCATCTTTGCCGAAGACAATCAAAACAGAACATGTCCTTATGAACCCATTGTTTACAAAGCTTTTCGACATTTTACCATGTTTTCTTAATTTCTTGCATTATGAATAACATGCTTTTACTTTTCATTGAGAGAAAAATGGAGAAAGAAAAAAGCAGGCTTTCGTTTAATCAGAGGCGGTGTCATGATGCTGGTGAAAAACACAACTTTGAATCAGCAAGTCGACTGTGTTTTGATGTAATAAACACACTACTGTATAGTTCCTTTGTTTTGGATTAACATGAGCTGTCATGAAATCTTTCATGTGAATTTTTAGCCACAATATTCATGAGGTGAAAATCAAATAATGTGATTGCTCTACATTTACTTATAACTATTGTAAAAATATTTACGCCAAGTCTTCATTTATTGTTTTTTTGGATCTGACACTCAGAGGAGTTCTTGAAGTGTACAAAAGTTTCATGTAAAACCAGAAGTTTAGTGAACCTTGAAGGTAAAACCTGCACCAGTCACTCAGTCAAGGGAAGGATAAAGATTAGAGTGAATGTTTGCGAACCAACACTTGTAATTTCAGGGGGATGACATTACAGAGATAAGATGGGATCAGCACGCTTCGGTTATATCACACACACACACACACACACACACACACACACACACACACACACACACACACACACACACACACACACACGCACACGCATGTGCAGACAGAAACGCATGACTGACCCTCAGAAATGCATCCAGCGATCCGTTTTCCATGTACTCGGTGATAATCATCACTGGCTTACCTAGAAAAAAAGAGGGAGAGGGAAAGAGTGAGAGAATGAAAGGCAGATGATTAGAGAGGTAAACGATGCACATCACAGCCCCACACAGCAGGGGGGTCTCTGGGGAGTGTGTGGGATAGAGAGAGAGAGAGCGACACCATCCATCTCTGTCCCGTAGCGATTTAATTAGCCCAGTGTTACAGTTGGTCTGACGTCTCCTGTTTTTCCCTGCATATGCGAAGGCATCTCCACTGCAACTAAACTCCACCACAAACACACACACACACACACACACACACACACACACACACACACACTAGCTTGTGGTTATGCAAATACGCACTGACATTGGACGCTCTATCCAAAGTGTCATCACAGTCAACCTACCAGAATCCCTCCGACTCCCTATTTCTGTCGCTCACTGTCCCTTTGCCCTCTCTCTTCTCTGCCAATTTTGGACACATCTGTCACTCTCCTGCTAGCTGTTGCTTTCTTTTTTTTCTCCCTCTCTAAATACTCTCCCCTCACTCTCTTTGCCCCTCCAATCCTGCCACCGCCACTCCTCTCTGGCCTTTTTCACCCCATCCCTCTGTCTTCCCCTCTTCATCTCTCTTGGGGGACCGTCTGTGTCTTTATCTAAGCCGAAGGCGATGGGGAGGGAGGACATTCCCTGGTGGGTCTCTTTCTGTCTTTGTCTCTCATGATGAAGGGGAGGGGATAGTGGGCATGAGGAAAGGCGAGATGAGGGGAAGGAAGGGAGGAAAGGAAGGAGGGTGGCTTGTTTTTGGACTAAATGGCTGAAAGCTGGTGCATAACCAGCCATGGTGACAGCACATGCTGCAGAAGTGCAGCTGTAAAGTCCTCCTGGATTGAAATGGTGCAGTTCAGGTGGACTTGTTGCATTGAAGGGAAGTGCTGACTTAATGCTCAAGTCTTATGGCGAGTTTGTGTGAAATCTCTCGTACACTCCAGGAGCCGGCCAAGCAGTTGGCAGCTGAGGTCTGGAGGTGAAGTTCCTCCACTCCACAGCAGGCCTTTAGCTGTGCCAAGAGGCCGTCAGTCACCGCCTTACCCGCCGCGTGATTGGCACTCCATTAATTACGGGGCACTCCGGCGATGCCCCAAAAAGAGGAAGTGGAGTTTAAGTCGGGGGAGAGCTGGGGGCCCTCTTTGTCAGCCATCTTTGTTCCCTTTGTTGCGCACTTCTGCCCCAGGGCAGCCTAAGATTGACAGCTCCCCAATCAAGTCTGAGGAGCGTCTGACCTGCGACCTTAAACTCTCGCCTCCACAGCCCCGCCCTCTTCCTCCCTTCCCATTTGCATGCTAATTCCTTGTTTACTGAATACGCCCCGCCGCCTTTGGCAATGAACTCTGGGCGAGGGCCCCGCCAACGGACCGATTATCACCTGCCAACAAAACATGAACAGAGGAATAAAAAATGCAACGAGGAACGATATCGGGGAACGTTGTGCAAACGCTCCACGGAGGCGGAGGCGCTTGCCGCTAACAAAGACGGCGCTCTTAAATGCAGATCATTTTCAAATTAGTACGCTTTTACTTTATGCAAATCAGCTGTTAAACACATCACGTCTGAGCTCAAATGGAGGCTGAATTTTAATTACATGTTAGCATGATGGAAACATTAAGTATATCCAAGCTTGAAGTCGGTAGAGTCCAGCCAGCGGTCCTCAGTGAGACACTTCTGCACATTTCTGTATTTCAGTGCCTATTTGGAGTTCCTCCATAATTAATAAGCCTTAATTGGCTCTGTTGGACATGCCAGCAAACTGAGGCCAGATTGAAAATTACTTTTAACTTGATTGTAATAGAGAGAGGAGTGCAATTCAAATAATGGATTTTTAATAGATTCCTCCGACACTCTCAAGTGTAAAGGACTAATTTACCCAAACCTTGTGTCAAGCTCTGCAAAGCAAGAGAGGAAGAAGGTGGAGTGGGAGTTATCTGATGATCTTCCTGCTTTGGCTCCTGTCACTGCAGCGTATCTCATCTGCTTGTCCTTCCTCTGTCTCGCTCCGTCTCTTTCTGTTCAATCCTCTGGTTCAGCAGTTTTACCTCCCTGCACTTTCTCTCGCTGTTTTTCTGTCTTTCTACGAATCCATCAGCAACTAACCGCCTTCCTGTCTCTTTCTCTCTGCGTCTCTATTTGCGCCCTCTCTCTCTCTCCGCTGCTTGTCTCCGGTTTCTCTCCCTTCCTCCTGTCCATCTGTCCGCCTTTTCTCTCCAGCTCCTGCGAGGTCTAAGAGGTCATTCCCTGCACTGAAAGGTGTGATAGGTGATAAGCAATTCAGCCTGTGCTGCTGCTCACTTTAAGCTTTCAGGGCCAAGTGTGTGTGTGTGTGTGTGTATGTGTGTTTGTGTGTGCGTGTGTGCGCGCAAGAGTGAATGAGACAGTGTTATCTAGCTCAGATAGAGCCAGGCTGTTGTGTCACGACACATTAAGGCACTTCATCCATCTAACCTGCGCCTGATCAGCTATGGTAACACTCACACACACATGCATGCAATCAAAGGTGCACAGATATGTTTTGTGCAAACACACACACACACACACACACACACACACACACACTTCTGGCTGCAGAAACAGCATCAGGGAAAGGTGAAAAAAGCAGGAAGAACCAGAGAGACTGAGGAGAGAGTGCCAAGGGCAGATAGAGGGAGATTTTGTCGGTGCTTTATGGCTGAGCAGCAGCAGATAGAGGAGGGATAGGGTATCACTCCCTAACCCCAAACACATTTACAGCTGACACCATGATTAATGAGCCCAGTGCCATGCTACAGGGCTTGTTTCTGGACCCATTAGACCCCCTACTCAACCGCACTTCCCTCCCTCACCAGCGTTAGACCCCTTCCATCTGGACACAGACCACCTGGGGATACATTGGACGGGACACAACACAAGGGCACAAATACAAACCCAGTTGCCCTGGCACGTATGAGCCTAAATGGATCTTATTCCTCCGAACCACATTTAAGTTTGTAAAAATAATGTAGTTTTTTAAAAATGTTTTATTTACTCCAATCTAAGAGCTGGGATGCTGAGTAAAATACTGATAAAACTAAATTTGCTAATTATTTCAATACAGCAAAATCTGCGGCCAACCAGGGAAGACCTTCACATTTCAGCAAGACGATGATAAACCACATTCTGCAGGGATTACAGCAGCGTGGCTCTGTAGTAGAAGAGTCCTGCTGATAAATTGGCCTGACTGCAGTCCTGACTGTGAAAAAAAGGTGTAGCGTCATGACACAAAAACAAGCTGGCATCAAATGTTTTCATGAAGTAATCATTTCTACTTTCAGTATTTGGTAAGTTCTCATATGGGGATGTCTGTTAGAAATGATAAGAAAACAGCTCTTTTATGAAGGTTTTGGGGCTATTTGCAGATTTGTAGCCCCTTATAGCTTTTTTATTTTCCCTGTAGTTTCTGCCTGACCTCTCTAAATATGCACTAAGTCGATTTTTTATAAAGACTTGAGGCTGTTTGCAGATTTATTGGGTGCTCTCTTGTAACATTTTTGTTGAAAATCAATGTAGAAAGCTCCAGATGCATTTTCCTAAAATCAAATCAAAGGTGAAATTGAATTTTTGGAAACCAAAAAAGTTTTAAGTCACAAGTTTGTTTCTGTTTCTGTCATCAGGTAAAGCTCTTACTTTGGGTTGAGGAAACAAATATCCCTTTTCGGTGAGACTTCTCCAACATCATCACAAATAAAAACCCTCCAGGGATCCAGGGACTGTTGTTAGTATGTAAGCATTTGAATACACACACTCCTCGGACAAGCTCAGACAGGTTTGCCCCTACATTCACCCTTCTCCAAAGTCAGAGTCATTTGTAATGATTTATTGTTCCAATTTTTTAAAGGAGAGAGGGGACAGCAGAAATGAATGTCCTTTCTGTGTTATTATAGTATAATGGGCATTGTGTGTAAATGGGAACCTGCGTGTGTGTGTGTGTGTGTGTGTGTGTGTGTGTGTGTGTGTGTGTGTGTGTGTGTGTGTGTGACACAGATTTTCACATTAAATGGAAATAATGCTAAACTGCTGGCCTTCACCTTCCTTTGTATAAAGAGTAAATAAAGCCTCACGCTGACGTACATTTGGTGACCACGCCCTCCAGGTGAATGATGTTCGGGTGATCGAACTGGCCCATGATGCTGGCCTCAGACAGAAAGTCCCTCCTCTGCTTGTCCGTGTATCCGGCCTTGAGAGTCTTGATGGCCACGCAGATCTCCCTCTTGCCTGGCATCTTCAGGCGGCCGCTGCAGACCTCGCCGAACTCCCCTGCAAAAAAACATGATCAGGTTTGAAGCTCTGAGCGATGAAACACGAGGTCTCTGATACTGAAAAGCTCGGACCATAAATCACACCAGTCTGAGAGTTTGTGAGACTGTGTGTGTGTGTGTGTGTGCGCGCGCGCCCAGGTTTGAAGGGGTCTGCTTTAAACATTGATCAGGGTTTCTAATCCCTCGCTCTCCCTCCTCCTCCCTTCAGCCACTGGAGCAGAAAGAGAGGGGAAATGGATATTGATTCCTTCTCTTTATTATTTTGTCATTGGATGACTTTTCAGTGGCCGCAGGAATAGCATAGACAACATATTTAGCCTCTTATAGCTTTTTATCTTTCCTTTTGTTCCTGCTTGACCTCTCTAAATGCGCACTAAGTGTCTTTGTCCAGGAAAACAAACATTTTTTTCTGAAAGGATTGCACATAAAAGCACGCACAGCCAAACATGACTCACCGACTGCAGATTATTTGCATGAAACGAATACCTAATATACTATTATCCTATTAGGTGAATGCTTTTATCTAAAGTATGCTACATTAAGCTTGACTGCAAAAGCTCCCCATAAAACTTTGCTCATAATAATGTGTTTAAAAGAAGCACAGCGGCTGAATTACAAACAAAAAGCAGCTCCTCACCGATGCCAATAACTTTCTCAATCTTGATGCAGGAGGCATCGATCTCTTTGGCAAACTCCCGCACAGCCTGGTTCGGGTCCTCATAGGTAAATGGATCAACGTAGATCCTCACTCCTAAGGAAAGGAAGGAAGGAAGGAAGAAAGGAAAGCAGAGAGTTAAAAGCGAAGGTTAATTCATTCCTGCAACTACCCTCCATCTGTTCTTTATTTCCATCATGCTGCAGGCTGCACCGCCTTGCTCTGTGGACACCTCTCCTCCTCCTCCTCCTCCTCCTCTTTTCTTCCCTTCATACCTCACTTCACTCTCTGACTCCATTGCTTTTCATGTCACTGTGTCTGACTCTGATGGAGCTGGAGCTCATTAACTCCAAATTTTTGTGGGACAAATAACAATGCTGATGACTTGATAATGAGGTGTTCAGAGCGTGCCGGTGTGCAAGTACATTAACTTCAAAATAGCTGGTGTGTTTTCTTCACTCTGTTTTATGAGCTTCACTGGAGTGCATGCACATGAGCACACCTGACAGCGCTAATGTTTTTCAATTACAGAGCGTGTGGGCGGAGCCTTAACTCCGAGTTACCTTGGTGTAAGTGCTTCTCCTCGTCAGAGTCCTGCTTGGCCTTGCTGTATTTACTCCTTCTGGGGGCAAAAACAAGCAGGGCGGTCAGTCGCAGTAACAACAGCATGAGGAAAAACTCTACTTTTCAAATGACAGCAACAGTGAGTCAGGATTAACACAACAGCAGGAACTTAGTAGAGCTGTAAAGTCCGAGTCGACTGGTCGACTTATTGGTCAATTTGTGCTGAGTCGACCAAGATTCTGATTGGTGGACTTGATTTTTTTCAATTAACAGTCTATGTTTAATTTCATTAGGAGGAATTTACCAAGTGCTAACTGGATTGTTTTCAGAGCACCCCCATCTCACAGGTAACAGCCTGTCTCAGAACACCCAGGTCATTCCTCCCTTCTGCAATAAGACTTTACAACAAACTGCAATAAAACTGGACTCAGACCACCACTTTTTTTTTTCTGTTACTTAAATTGTGTATATTGTATATAGTTTTATTTTCTTCTCCCATTTTCCTTTTCTAATTTTTTTCTTAATTAGAACATGTATTTAAGTTCTTAATATATGATCTTTATTTTTATAACTGCATTTTTGCACTTTGCTCTGTGACAAAAAAAATTGCCCCATGGGTGATCAATAAAGGAATAAAGGAATATTCTATTGTTTTAACCATTTTGGATTTGCCCAACCCACTGGAGACCGACTGAAGACAGAAAGATTGAAGAGAGTCCATGTTTATCAATGTCCAGTGGTTTGCTGAATATGATATTTGTGTTTAGTTTTAGTCGATTAGTCGATTTTTGGTTGAAAATTTAGGGGTTTTAGTCGATCAAGAATTGCTTTGATTGATAACAGCCCTAGAAGCTAGTTAGTTACTTTTGTTAAGTAGTGTGTGTGCAGTTGCATGATGGTCTTCAGTGGGGTTTCATTACAAGACAGTTTTGTGGACTAACCATGAACTTAAGTGTCAGGTAACAATTGCTATAAGCAAACATTAGCCATGTTGACTTCCTTAAATCCTCCGCTATCTTTGGTTATGGGGTTTTTGAGAGGCACTGAGCGTATAGCAGCAAATCAATTCCAGAAAAGCTGCCCTTAAAGCCCTCTGAATCCCTCAGGCAGCCTGACACCTGTGCTTATATTGATGTGAGGGTCAGTGGAGGAAATGGCCAGATGTGCGAGACATTGTCTTCCTTTGTACTTGTGTAATGATGGTAAATGGCGACGTGATTACAGTCCCTCCCCACAATCACCGAATGGCCGCTGCGGCACAATGACAGTGGCCATCGCATGCATATAAAAAAGGCAGAGACAACCACCTGCTTGGCTGTAGAGACGCAATCAACACCCCCCTCGACCTCCCCCCTTCTTTCCTTGCTCATCACCAGCACTGGTGCACACATGCAAACAATGCCTCGGTTTCCATATAGAGAGGCACATGAGAGGCATTCACAAAAGGAAGGTGCAGGAAGCAACACGCAAACCCTTCCTCCCCTAACAGAGGCAGCTCTTTTTAACATAACGATATGCACACACACACACATACACACACACATTGGAGAGTGTGGTTAACACCCTGAGGTGAGGCAGCCCCATCTGCATGTAATCCCATCTGTGTGACGCTGCTTTGTCCTGCTCCCTGGTTAACACCCTGAGATTGGGTCACTGCAAATCCACCTGATGCCTCTCTGTCTCGCTCCCTCTCTCCTCTCTGTATTCTATCTCCTACTTTTCACTGCCAGCTTATCTCATTGTCCACCTTCCTCTCCCTCTCTTTTTCCTCCCCTCCTCTCATTCTCTTCACGGCGGTCAGCAGGAGAAAATAACTAGCGGCAGGATTACAGCCACTAGCTGAGCGATAGCAGGAGAAGGATGGCGGGATGTGGAGGACAGGGAGCGGAGGGTCACTGATTGCATCTCTTCAGCTGTCGGAGCTGTCAATCACGTCTCCGGTGTGGCAAGTCATCACTCACCGGCTGTCTGAATCTGTGTGTGTGTGTGTGCGTGTGTGTGTGTTTGTGTTTGTGTGTTTTTGTCTGTTTCCTGACAGATTTTTTTTTTCCTGGCGCTGAAAAAGACATCGCTCATCAGAGAGAGAGAGCGAGAGACAGAAAGCAGAAGGAACAGACAGGATGGTGCTCACCTCCTGCTGATGACGAAAGCACTGATGAGGATGATGAGGAGCACCACGCTGCCTACCACTGACACCAGCAACACTGTGGAGTTGGCGCCATCGCCTATGATGGGAGATGGGACTAAAGGGGGGGAGAGAGAGGTCGCACAGAGACAAAGAGCAAAGTCAATACAATCTGCAGCCACACATGAAGACGCCAGTAAACAGTGTGTGTTTGTCAAAGTCAGTGGCAGCCCCTCCCACTTCTTCCCCTTGTCTCTCTTCTATGGGCCTGCCGCTAAAAGACAATGACGGCCCATTAGATGTGTGCTTGACTGAGTCATTACGATGCGCTGCTGTCAATATCTGCATGACAAAAGAGACATCTGGACTCTACAGTAGACTGCCTGACAGTGTTATGTATATCTAACATCACCAGTTCTGTGTCTTTTTGTCAATACTTAATCACTTGATTTTCCAAGAAGGTTTTGAAAATCAAATATCATCAAAAGTATCTTAACTTTCAACCTGTGCATGTTTAACCTCATTCACTGTTGAGCTTCTCTTGTTTCCAGGCAGAATATCATTTATTTTTTATAGGTGACAGCTCTTTTGATGAACGACTCCATGATGAAAGAGAGAAACTCGTAAAAGATGCTATCACTGCAGGGTTTAGCAGAAATGGATGTGACAGAGCTGGCGCTGAGTGGCTCAGGGTCTGCCGCACACTGACATCATCGGGGCGAGCGAGCGAGTGCACTCACCGGAGTTGGTCATGAACTCAAACGGGCCGCTAAATTCCCCGTAGCCAGCTGCAGTGCGAGCGCGCACGTGAAAGACGTAGGAGGTGAGGGGAGTGAGACCTTTGATGTCTGTGTTTCTGGAGGAGGTTTTGATGATCCTGTAGCTTCTTTCGTTTTGGTCCTGAAGATGACACAAGTGGAAACAATAAGATTAATTTCAGTTTGATGGAAGCTGTAACTTTTTATGGCATAATGTCATCGGACAGATCTTACCTTTTCATAGTACTTGACCTCATACTCCAGGATGACCCCGTTGGCTCGATCCGGTGGTTGCCAGGCCAGTGAGATGGTATGTCTTGTTATGTCCTTTGCTTGGATAGAAGTCACTGGCGAGGGAGCTGGTGGGATGATGAAAAGAAAGCATAAAAAAAGAAAAACAAAGTTAGCCAAATGCTTTCTCCAAGTCCTTGTAGTTGTGTTCAGCCTTGGAGACACCAAGTCTCTTTTGTGCTGCTCTCCTAAATCTCCCACTCCTCAGTCCTGCTGTGAGAGTCAAACCCTGAGCCAGGCCACAAGGCGATCACTTCCATTTGTCTCTGAACTTGGCTTCAATTCAAAATTGGAGGCGCTACGGAGCTGTACGACCACACAGCTGAACCCCCTGAGCAAACAGCAATATTCTATTTCTTAACTGATGCTCCATAAAAGCGATCCAATTTCACTTTGGCTGACGCTAGCATGTCAGACTCTTTTCCTACACGCTGCTAAAATAATGTGTAACTTCATTTTCTGCAGACACTCAGGTCACCCTGGGAAACCCACGCTGCTTCAAAGTCCGCCTGCAAAGCTCAAATCAGGCTCGATGTTGCACTTTTTCTCTCTTTTTCGTCTTCAGGAGAGCAAATCAATTGGGTTTCATTAAAGCTCCAGCGAGCGATCTTATCCCGAGCGCCTTTCCCCCGCAGCTGATAATGAGGCCATATTTCAAGCTATCTGCGTTCAGACGCCTTTAACATGTGAAGGTTAAAGCACAGATAATGGCTTACACTAACCCCCTCCCTCCCTCTGGTACAGAACTGCAGCACAAATCAGACCTCTATCTTCAGGGAGTGTGACAACGCTAAAATTGGGTCATACGCACTCTTGACACTACAAGAAGAGAATCTCACCGGCATGAGAAAGATAGCGTCGTAAACAGAAAGAGGCTCGTGTACGGAGAGTGTTTTGAGTGGAGAGGAAGATGTATGGAGGGAGTTACAGGCTGAGGAGCAGAAGGCTGGAGGGTTTGAGAAATAACTCAGGTGCAGAAAGAGAGAGGAGACGAGCAAAAACGTATCTGAGGTTTGAAGATCTGAACGGTTTCTGTTGGAGCTGAAACAACAACCTGATTACAGTCCAGATATTCAGGATTTGACTTGGATTGTACAAAAACTTGAGCATTGATGAATAAGAGGACCTGACTTTTTAAATGTTTAGGTTAGTGTTTTTACACAGGTCCAATTAGTTTAAGACTCATCTCGGACTCAACTTAGTCCTCCTTAGTGACTCAGACTCAACTGGGACTACATCACGGAGGACATGAGACTTGACTCCGACTTGAGGTTTGGAGGCTTTACTATAAAGCCGCTTCTCAGAGCAGCACACCAGCACCAACCCATCCACTCACACGCTCAGGTAACGTTTTAACGAGTCGTCTGTTCTTACAAGGAGGGAATCTCTGACCTCTGACCCCCTGAGGTACTGTAACCCTACTCACCCCAGACCATCTGCCTTTTAAAAAATTACAGTGGGATGATTAATGAGGAGTTCACGGTCCGCCGATTATGATTGGATTATCTATGACATTATATACATTCTCTTCACTTTGACCAGTGGCTCCAGGGAGCCTGCTCTTCAAGCTAACACTAACAAAACCCTGCTTTTAGCCAAGGATTGAGTTCAAACGGGCCTGGAATTCAAGCACCAGCCGCAGATCGAGTTTCGGTGGGGTGAAGAAGCTGCAGTGGAGGGAGGGAGGGGGGCTGACTGGCGGAGGATGAGATGGAGATGGAGAGGGAGAGGGATGGGATTGCAGACATCTCTTGGTAAATAGATTAACCCAAGGTTGTGTAATCCTGTTGGCCTAATGTGTTGCGTCTCTGTTAAACAATTAGATGGCGGCCATTTGTATCCCACCGATCAATCTTCCCCGGCAGCAAGAGCCAATTTGAAGGCCCTCCTGGGGCCGAGCGAGGACGTTCTGGCTAAGGAAGAAAACCCCTAAGAGGTCAGAGGCCTTCGTTCTCCTGAGGTAATCCACACATCCATCTTTCCTCCAAAGATGACAGATATGGCAATTTAATCTTGTTCTCCTCCTCTTGTTGCATTTTTATTTTCCCCTGGACTAATGTGAGGATAAAGATGAGTGATTTTCTGAGTGGTCCCTTCTGAGGCTCCGTACGTGAGAAACTGAGGTTGAGCACAGCTCAGACATCGAACAGGTGATCCATCAAGGTCAAGTTTTATGGCTGCTTAAAGATGAATTAGCCGGAGGAATGCTCAAAAACAAGGTAAGGCACAAAGTGAATGTAAAAAGAAAACTGGAAAACCGTGCATGCACAAAACATTCAGAGCTGATGCAAGACTAAACCTGACACTCTGAATGGAGACGAGTTTAACCTGAGGCTGCTACTTGGGCAGACAATGCCAGACAAGCTGGCACCGCTGCGAATGAATTTTAAATATTTGGGGGCAGATCTGTAATTTCCTACAGCCCCCTGAACGCGTGGGATACAAACGCAAATGGAATAATAAGTGTTAGATGCAATGAATATTCAAATCTCATGTCAGGATTGTGGGCTGCAAAGAAATAAAGCCCGTCTACAGCCTGCAACAGCCTGACAGACACACTTACAGTATGCACATAAAAAGACTGCAACACAAAAGAGCTCAAAGAGAGAAACAGACATTGAACAAAACCATGAACCATGCATCATTATCTGATGACAGAGACCTGAAATCCAACGCCAAACCCCCCCAAAATAAATCACACACAAACTGTGCAACAATAATACAAGTACAAATCTAAAAGTAGTGTTGGAGTTTGTTCATTCCCAGGACTATTGAGAAGATTACACTTATTTCTGCAGATGTTTCTGATCTATTGTCCCTGCACTGATGGATCACAGTTCAGTGAGTGATTTCGTCTTTGCGAGGATGTTTGTCTTGCGAGAAGCAGCTGCGGTCAACGCAAGCAGTTGCAGGAAAATGCGGTCGAGAGCAGTTTGACATTAAAAGAGACCTGGGCTGCGGAGCACATGTGGTTGCCAGATTGGAGCCTGGTTGCCAGATTGGAGTCCCAGGATTTTGCTGCTTCTGAAGGAAAAATAGCCGAGGAGGGAGCAGTTTTTCAGGGCGTTCAGAAAGTAGCTCCTGCGTACAAGATCCTTCTCACCCCCACCCGTCTGCTTCCATCTCCCTGAACACATTTCCGTCTGTCCGATTTGCCAGAGATATGGAAACACACACATGTGGGCCGACAGACATGCCCACACACACATTTGCACTCTCATGCACTAATTCACTTTTAGACACCTTAGCCTGCCAAGTATTTTGTATAAAGACATAAACACCTCTGACTCTCTGACTCTTTCTTTCCTTTTTTCACACATGTACGCACAAAAAGTGCTCGATCCCATAAAAAGGGGGGGGAAACATCCATTTACAGCCAGGGGTCAGTTCAAAGCCTGGACGTCCCTCTCTCTCCTTGAGCAGCTCGGGGTGAAAGGGTTACAGCCCGGCCGATTTATGACTGTGAGACTGTTCATGGCTTGGCGTGGAATCCTCTTTGCACAATCGCACACATGCGTGGTCACAGATGTGTGTGCGTGCGATTTAACAACGCTTAAGTCTTACGACCCCGAATTCAAAGAGGGCTGAGACATTGTGTACGATGACATGTTTGATGTTATTTTAAGCCTATATTTGAATGAAACTAACACTAAGACAACTCATGAGCCCATTCAAGATGGACTGAGAGGAAGTGGACCAACGTATCAGGATTTGACATCCTCTTTGGAAATCATAGGTACCCTAAAAAAGGAGAAGGACAACCCGTTTTGTTATCAAAGCAGGCCTCCCTCATGGTATGTGGATTTTAAGTGTCCATGTCATGGGTAGCTTTCACATCTGTGAAGGCTCCACTAATGCTGAACAATATCTACAGATTTAGGAGCAACATCTGCTGACATCCAGACGATGACTTTTTCAGGAAAGACCTTCATATTTCTGCTAAAACCTTCATCACGCTCCTCCAACCTACCTCACTCATTTCTTCCCCCTCCAGCTGAAACCTGAACTTTTCTGGAAAGGCGGTGGCGGGGGTGTCTCCTCCACTGCACTTATAAATCCTAATAAATCCATCATAATAAATGTGTAATCCACAGTGTCTGGATGAGGGGAGGCGATACAAAGAGAGGGACAGCCACAGATGACTGCCTGGATTACCAGAGGCTGAAACCAGAGCTCCCAAAGCCTCTACTGAGCATTAGCAGGGAGAAATCCAATCAGTCTGGAGCTATTCTCTTTAACACGACACACACTCACACACACACACGCATATATGCACACAAATTAGAAAAGACATCCACACCCGTAGACACATAGAGGACATTGTTTGAGAGTCCACTGTAGATCATCTTCATCCAGAGGCGTACAAACAGTCTGTGTTGCACATTTTCTTGCTTCTAGCCAAGCTCCCAGTCAAGGTTACACATTTAAAACACACACACAAACACACACACATACACACACACACACACACACACACACACACACACACACCGTATTACAGCCTCCAGCTGCAAGCATCATATAACTAATCCTGAGGAACAGTTGTGGAACATGCACCAGTGACGAGCCAAAGGCAACACCATCTATATCTTACATCTCGGAGGCAGCAGATTAGCCTCCAGCAACCTCAAGCAGACGTTTGTGCGTGTGCATGTATCATTATATCTGTGTATGAATACATGAGCAAGATTGCACCACTCTTCGTCTGTGTGACCACACTGACGTCCTCTAAGTCCTTGGCCTGAACTCCAGGGCGTGCTCCATTACAGCCCCCACACATGCCTGTCTGGCAGGTCCTGCAGCTCTCCCACAGGCAGCACATCCATTCATCTCTATCTTCCTGACCCCGGCTTATAAATCAAGCCTCTGTGCCCTTAAATCGCCAGCCCAAGCCCTATTCAAGTTATACGCTTTTCCCAGGGATGGAAATTAGTGATAAAAAAAGGAAAACAACACAAAAAGGCACTTAGCTTGCCACCCAAGAGCAGAGCAGTAAAGAAGACCATGTAATGATCGGCTATAAGTGGAAGAGAGCAGGGAGGGATGAAGAGAAAGGGCCAGGGTCGTAAAATCCATTTGCACAACAACCGGTTACAAAATGGCTAAATGACAAAACAACAGGAGGCTTTGAACGCACCCCGGGGCTAGAGGGCTCTTCTCCAGCTCTGGAGGAGAGCCTGTATTCATGAGTGTATTCTGCTGGAATAATTACACACACACACACACACACACACACACACACACACACACACACACGCACACACACACAATCCAGCAGCATCTGTAATGAAGCCTCTGCAGATCAATACAACTCATCTCATTCATTAGCCAGAGAGCTAAATTTAGCATGTTGCCCCTGTCTCTCGCCTGGGCTTCATGCGCCTAATTATGCAAAACTCCACTGAAATATAGCAGAAAATCATCCCCCACTGCAGTGAATCCATCATCCTCCTCAGTGATCATCCAGCCTTAACCCAAATTATTAACAGCTTTAATAAACATGTTTTGACACGCAGATTGCCAATATGAAAAAGTACTTCAAGCACTCAGAGCATCAACCTGTGCTCTGCATCAAAAATAGACTCCTGCACACAAAGCTTCTCTGAAAACTTTCATTCAACTCAGGTTAGCAAGCTCACAATGGGAAATAACCTACTCGAGAAATCTGAGAAAAGAGCAAGCAATTAAAATCTGAAGGTACAGCTGCTGAAGCTAAACTGTGAGTCAGCTTTAGTTACTTCAACAGTGTCAAGGAGGGACTTAAAACCTAGATTCAATCAAAGGGTTAGGTTTAGATTAAGTTAAAAAAAACTAAAAACTTTATCGTGAGTTCATTGAGTCCTTCCTCTTTTTCTTTTTGGCAAACGCACAAAACTCTTGAAAATTTTCCAAAAAGGAGCACAAACACAAACTTGTCAGTATCGCACTTTCCACTTTCTAGCCAGACTGTTATCATGAGCTAAAAATAGGGACTACATTGATAATGATGAGTTAAAAAAGCTGGAAATGACACATTTCTGAAAACAAAGTGTGATACCTTTTTTGAGAAGATTCATATAAGATTCACATTTGGACCCCTCAAGTCACTTTGGCTTACAGAATTATAGTCCCAGAAATGTGGTGGTCCTGGACATAGAGCTCAACCAAACAGGGTATAAGGAGCTGCAGGAGCACTTGTGAAAAAGCTCATCTTTCTCTGCAAGGTGCATGTGTGAAAGCAGTCCCTGACGTCAACATGACCTGAGTGAAATTTTAGTAACTCATGTGTGAAGGAGGCTCTGGAAGCCAAGTTTTTGTTCTACAAAAATAGTAACTCACTAAAGCTGCACTCAAGAGTTTGACTCCCAAACTGGAAATAAAAGAGCGTAAATGCAGACAAAAAAAAAAGGAAAAACTAGCTCTCCCTTCTCACTTTCACTTCTTTTCCTCTAAGCACAACAACAATGGACAGCTCACACAAACTGTCACTGGTCATCTTACCCGCCTGGTTGGTGGTGACAGTTACAGACACCGCCTGTTCCGGCCCAGGGCTCTGAGGCGAAACTCCGTTCACCGCCCACACCTCAAAGGTGTAGTTGGTGTGGGCCTGCAGCTCGTTGATGGACACTCTGGTTCCCTTCAGGCTCAGCTGCTGTGGGCTGAAGTGGATGCCGTTTCCGCAGGGCTGACAGCGCCGGCCGTCAGGCCCGCAGCGCCTACACACCACATTATACGTCAGGTCCTGGCGTCCACCTGTGCTGCGGGGCGGGCTCCACTCCAGGTTTACAGAGGTCTCATTCACGTTGGAGATGAGATGGACAGGCGCTGACGGAGGCCCTGTGGAGGAGGGAGAAAAGGGAAAGAGTGGATGTTATTAAAAAAGGAATAAAACAAATGGCAGACTGTCGTATTAACGGTACGTTTTGACTAAATGCTGCAAAGAGAGTACATTTCCATACATACATATAATAAAAACGAAAACCTGTAATTGACTGGGTTCTCCCTCTATTGAAAGCTGAGGCTGCTTGAATTCCCTTTTAATGTTCTGTCCATTACAGCGAGGGAGGATTCAGTTTCACCTCAGTTAATTCAGCACGTTAGCTGAAATCCAATAGGCCAGCAGATTTCTTTCCCATTCATAGGCTGGATCAGCTGGAGGTGGCAGAGCGCCCGGCCTGCTGCTAACACCGAGGCTTTATGGCACCCACTCAATAACTTTAGACAAAGTTTGCTCTGGAGCCGTTATTAAGTTTCAGCTTTGATGTAAAGCTCGCTCGCTGTACTTTTATAAGAAGAGCAGCTCTGCAGACGCACTGTGACGCAAACCCCTCTGCTCATCCATCCCACTTTGCATGTCAGCTCGATTGTAATTAATGTGTTTTTTTGCATTGCTTTCAAACATAAGCGACGGTAATTGACTTAACTCTCCCTGTCCCTCTTTCTCTCTCTCTGTTTCCCCCGTTTCGCTCGCTCTCCCTCTGACTAATGAAGCACACGCGAGCAGGCTGAGAGATCGATGCGGGGTGAAATATGAAAGCTAGTCCATCCACAGACGAATCATTTCACAACGGAAATTAATTATCAGTGTTATTTTTGGAGGAGAAGAGGGGCGATGAGTGATTTCACAGAGACACAGAGAGCAGCAGAGGAGACCGGGGGATGGGAGTGTGTGCGTGTGTGTGTGTGTGTCGCTTGAGAAGAAAGAATCACGCTGTTGTGCAAGAGTTTGTCATATGGAAAGAGACGTGGAAGCACAATTTTACACATAATGCATGAATCTATAAAGTCTCTTTATGCATCTCTGCGTGCACTTGAGTTGGTGAGTGTGGCGATGAAGGACAGACAGAGAAGACAAACACCGTCTGTTCGTCCAGGACGCAGGAAGCACACTGATTAGTATGGAGGGAGCGTAGAGAGAGGATGGGAGGGAGCAGAAATGGACATCAGCATGTGAGGAGAGCTGTCTGTTTGTCTGAATCTGACCTTAAAGATCACAAATAACTCCAGACACCAGCAGTGAGACCATGGGATCTGCAGACGTCTACACTCAGCTAATATTAGCATCCCTTCCCTCTTCATACTTCTCGTACCCGCGGATGAAAAACCTATTAATAAGTCCTCATTAAAAATAATGATAAATTGCTTCCCATCCCCCCCTACTCCTCACTGCTTTTTCTCCTCCTTACCCTCTTTGCCTCCTCCACTCCTTCACCTTATTCTACCAGTTACAGATGGAGTTTCTATATTAAGGTGCTATCATTATTAAAGCAGCTTTGCCCGTGTGCAGACCAAACAACCTTTACTACACCCTTTAAACACTCACTACACTATCAGAGATAAACTCTAGAGCTATTTGTCAGCTCTTATCTGCACATACAACATCATAAACCCAGCAGAACAAAGACGACATTGCTATTAAGGAATGCGTTTGTGTTTACTGTTCTTTGGAAAAGGACAGAAAGTTCAAGATGTTCGGCACTTACAGCCTGAGAGTATAAAGGTCTTATTCTGTTAAACATACAAACACAAATAGTTATTAAAGTAGATAATTCAATGTATCAGATGCCCCCAGCACAGGTAACATATAATCAATGGAGGTCTACAAACACTGAAAATAAAAACTGTCACTGCATATTTATTGGTAAATTTTCATGCAACAGGTTTCATGCAACTTTGATTGTCTGTTTCCATTATTTTGTTCACAGGCTGCTTCTCTATTTCAGTTATGCACTTCATGGCTAAGAAATGCCTGCAACTCCTTTCTCCTGTCCCTCTGCTGTCTCAGCCTGTCTGCATGACGCAGCTACACAGGTATGCATGAAATAGTAATATCATTATCATTGAACTATGGATGACTAGTGACTTTATTATATTACTGTCATCTTGGCAGGTTAGGAAAGAAACTGATTTGGATCTCTGCTCATGGACTCATAACTGCTCATAACTTAAGACCTCCTGGACCAACTTTCAGATGGTCAAATAATAAGTAAGTAAGATAAAAATCCCAAAGCGCTGTACATAAAATAAGTGCAATTACATAAACATGTATTGTACAAAAGATAAGTACAATCCAGAGTTGCAGATAAATCCTGGAAGTATCACATCCTTGTTTTATGATATAGCAAAGACAAGTGATTGTGCTGTATAGTTATAAAATGTCTTGTCTAACTCTTGGTAAAATTGTAACATCAGCTGTGATAGCATTGTGTCAGCAGATATTGTGTGATAATGTGTGTGTGTGTGTGTGTGTGTGTGTGTGTGTGTGTGTGTGTGTGTGTGTGTGTGTGTGTGTGTGTGTGTGTGTGTGTGTGTGTGTGTGATCAGCTGAGTGAGATAAGTTTGTTTGTCTGCTGCCATGGTGAGTGCTGTATAACTTTATGACATTATAAAGTCTTGCCCTCATTCCACTGTATGTCAGTACTGCATACCACACTCACTCACACACTCACAAAACTACCTTTGGCTGTACCTGTCGCTCTCCCAGCATGCACCAGTGGGAGCAAGGGAGCGTGGGAGAGCCGTCAGCTGTGACTGACACCCAGTAATTAATCCTGAGAGAGAGAATGGCGAGGGGGAATCAGGAACGTAACGCTCACACCACGTTGGCTCAACATGGCCTTAAAACTTCACACTCCTCTCAGGAAGGATCCGGAGGGAGACTTGCAAAGTTTCTCTGAACTAAGTTGCAAATTTCCTCCCTCCTCTTTTTCCTTTTCTGGCCACTTACAGCCGAGATATCCGCTCTGAGCCATATTTCTTACTTTCCTGGAACTCTTTTGCTTCTATTCCCCTCTCCCCTTTTTACTTCACTCCTTCTTTCCTTCATCCCTTCCTCCTTCTGTCTCTTTCTATCAGTAATTGTTAGCTGAGTGTTGCACAGGGCCGAGGTAGAGAGCAGCACACCAAATTGGCCAGAACATCGACCCCGCTATTACCATCCAGCTGGGATTCATTCAATGCCCCCCTCGAGTCCTCCCAGATCTACGCTCGCTCCTCTCTCCATCTCACTCTCTTCCTCTACCAAACCAAACCGCCGCTAAGAAAACTGGGGAAAGTCTGAGAAACACATCAAGGGTGAGTGGAAACCCCAGAACAGAGAACACCCCCTCGTTTTAACCTGAGCACAGCGGAGCAGCTGGCTCCCGGGGGTGTCCGACACCAGTCCTTATTACGGCTCTGTGGTGGACGTGTGTGTATTTATACTCACCCACATGTTCTCATGTGTGTTACCCTCTGCATAGTTTGAGATAATTCACCAAACTCTATCCTCGCTGACTGAGTGAGCTTACCAAACTATCTTAAGGAAACCTCGGACTTTGTTTAACAAAAATACCATTTAATGTCGTAGATTTTTCAAAATATGCCAATAAAACATTTTTATACACGAATGCAAAAGTCATTACGGGTTTTAAATGGATTTGGAAGAAATCTCACTCTTATACTGGTGCCTATTCATTACAAAAGGTAAAACTGGTTATTTCTTCACACTTTAGTGCAGGAGTTCAGGTCAGAAATTCTGTGAGAAAAAGTGTTTATCAGTCACTCTGAAATGTTGGTGTTGAGTGAATACAGTCCTGAAGAAAAGGAGTTTTAAATGTGTTTAAATTTGGTAAGCATGTTCATATGCAAGTTGATTTACAAGCAGTACATTTGAGGGAATTAAAGGGGTCAGTTTAAAAAAATCATTTGTTTTATGAAGAAGATGTTATAACAGCCAAGAGTTAATCTATTCAAGTTAAAAAAACAAACACATGTCAGGAGAAAGTTAAACCTTTTTTCGTCTATATTTATGAAAATAATCTTGATATATTATGACTTTGATCTCTGGGAGGTAGACCTCATACCAGAGCAGTATAAACCCGGTAAAAGAGCAGCATGGATTATACATATTTATGCTGCCATGTAAGAGTTTCACCGTACTCTAAGGGTTAGAGAGTCACTGCCTCTGCATACTTTGGTTATTCAGACATTATTGGAACTTTACAAAGTTTGGTTGTTTTTATGTGACAGCTAAAAGTTTAACCTAGAAATAAATACACTTCAAGAGGCACATCTTTACCACGGTGGGTGATAATGCTCTTGGAAAATGCGGTCCTCATCCTAGAAGAAAACACAACGTTGACAGTAACTCCAAAATCTGCTTGAAAAGGAAATATTCACGCTTGCTGCCAGGTTCGTCCAAGTTGATCCAAAGTGTGGGAGGCAAACAATAATAGGCTCTCTTGTTTTTTTTATCGTAAAGCAGCTGTTTCAATCAAATGTGGCACAAATTAATCACAAATCAAAAGAGCAATCACTGCGAAAGAGTGAGGAGGGCGAGGGAGGCACTGACAGAAACGCAGCAGGAGGAAAAGGCCGCACACAACGGCAGAATTACACAACGTTCATTTTTAATCATCATCCCCCATCTTCGGACTCGCAGCTAAAAGAGAGGAGAGCAGTTTCAATTACCCCCTCCACATACACACATAAACTCACGAACACAGTCACACAAACATCCACCCCAATTACCAGAGAGGCTGGCTCTCTCCCAGTCTGACCTTCAGCAAGGCAAACTGGGAAATGACTTTTAAGAGGCTTTTTCTTTTTTCCCTCATCTGCTCTGTCTGTGACTCTGAGTGGGTTTTGAGCAAAAGAGAGAGAGAGAAAACAAAAAGTGGGTGAGGAGGACGAGTGACTGACAGCTGTAATTACAGAGCTCGGCCATGTGGGTGAGAAGTTTAAAAAAAAAGAGTTGAGGAAGGAAAACAGCAGACGACAGACAGGGTAGGAGTTCAAAGGTCAAATGTTGAGCGGCTGATGAGGCGGGGCAGAGGTCGGTGGGAGAGTCGGGCTAATGTTCAGTTCCTCTCGGTGGAGCTGGGAGTGCAGCGGAGACGGCCTAACAGGGTCCAATAAAATAAGGCCAGTAATGAGCTTTGACAGCTGTTGCTTGCAGCAGCCGCACTCAAATGCCATACCGACTAACGGGACAATGGGGATGGGCTCCGGGCTCATTAATTAAAAGAGGGGTTGTAACTCGATATATTAGCGCTGTGCTATACAGTGAGTGTGCAGGCGGCTGAATAATGAAGGTTTATGTTTGAAACGTCTTTTTTTATACAAAAGATCTGTGAATTTATACGACTGTGTCTAAATTTAACAAGCTGTGTTGTAAAGATTACACAGTTGTGTGGTTTGCAGACTTTTCCCTGACCGATGCACAACTGCTTCTGCTGCTGCTGCAAAGACTGAGGCATTTCTACTGCCTCAGTAACAGCATGCATGTGAAAACTGTGATGAAAATAGACAACAGGACAACAAAGTACCAGGTTACATTATTGTTTCTAATAAAAAATCTGCTATGGCTTTAAACGAATCAGCTTATACGAATCACGCTTCATCTTCTTTAAAACAGTAAATTTTCACAAACTGATAATAAATAATGGAAATGGTGAGCCTTTTCTATTTACAAGAAAAAAAAGAAATCATTAGTTCCCTTTGGGTTTGATTTATTGCTGTAGTTCTGAAACTAAAGATAAATTTGGTCAATAAAATGTCTAAAACTATAGAAAACAAATCTTACACTGGTGTTATAAACAACATTTATTGGCCAATCAATGTTCACAGACAACAGAGAAGGAAAAAGAGACATTTTTTTTAATGCAGAGCAGCAAATTCTTGATTCTAATAAGAAAAACCCTCATCTTTCTGTTGCTGTAACTACCTGTGAAGTCTTGAAGGGTTATATTTAACCCGTTTATAAAAACAAAAACTAGACTGAAAGGGTCACTTCCCAGACCAGTGGTTCTCAAGGTGGAGGTTGGGACCCCTCTGAAGGGCCGCAAATTAAAACTTTTGATCATTTTAGCCTAATATTTGATCCACTCCACCTGGTACTCTTAGTTTGAGGGTCTCGGGCTGAAAAGTTTGAGAAGCCCTGTTTTAAACCATGACACCAGTGGTCTTGCTTTCATCATTATCAACAAACAAGACGAGAAATCCTCCATAAGTTTAAGCAATTTTCTTCCCCTAGATCAACAAGTAAGAAATATGTTTGATGACATTTAGACAAAAAAGGGATTAAAAAGAGTTGGGCAGCTTGATTTGGGCTGATGATCCTGATGTTGCAAAGGGGTCGACTGTGCACTACTGAAACTCTGTTTTGTTGGCTAGATAGGGCTGGTATGATCTATTGAGAGAAGTTTAGTCGGGATGGGAGAGAAAATTGATACAGCAAAGTATCGCGATATTTTGTCAGGTGATATATTGTATTGTCTCATTGACAGAGTACCGATTTTTTCAAATTAATTGTTCATATGAAGTTAAATCTATGATAATGGAAAGATAAAATAAACTTTATGTCCAGTGAGGTTGGCAGAGGTGACATCATAGAGTAGGAGAAAGTTAGTACTACAAATACATATAAGGTTTGCAAGATGTGCTACATGAAAATAAAATACAGCGTCAATAAGACAAACATAAAGAAAAGACAAATGCTAAATTAGCCAAACAGTTGAAAAAATTGCAGAAAATCGCAATATATTGTATTGCAACACTAACTGTATTGCAAAACGTTAAAAATCGCAAAAATATCGTATCATGGCCCAAGTATCGTGATAATATCGTATCGTGGGAGTTTGAACTGAATTCTGGCCATTTTATCTGACAACAGCCACTTCTGTACATGAGGTGCATGGTTTGATTGCAGGGCATAACTGAAGCCACCATATTTGACTGTTTGGCTAAGTTGGAAATAAGTTACGCGCAGTTTCATCCTGCAGGTCAGAGTGTTTCATGTTCTAAGGCACTTATTAACAGAGAAAAATAGGTCAGCACAGAGCAACAAAAAGCCAGAGCCACACAATCAAGGATGCAGCAGATGACCATCATGCCTTACTCCTACATTGAGTCTTTATCTTAATCGTAAAAATATGCCAGACCAGAACATTGTTTATGATCCTGCAGAGATAGTGTGCAGCAGGGGAGTAATCAAAGAGCACCGGGCTCTCTGCAGCGAAGTGTTGGCGGTAAGAGCTCGGCCGCTTGTCTGATTCAATAAACTATTTCGCTGAGTGACGAATCCACAGGAACTTGACAGATCATTCAGGCCAAATGGAGAGCCAACTATGAGCTCAGCGACCCAGCAGATGTTTTGCTTGTTAAAATTGTTTTATGACACACACTCACTCACACACAGACGTCTGCCATGTTGGTATGAATGCTGTTATTTCCAGGGGAGTGAGTGGGTAGGGGGGTTTGGTGTGTTTGTGTAAACTTCTCCCACCATGAAGCCTCATGTATGACTCAGAGAGGGATTGAGGTTTTGAAGAGGGAGATGTATCATTAGGCTGTTAACGATATATTTGTTATCACAAGCAGGAGGGGTGGATTCACCGGTGGCTGATTTATACGGTCCAGTGGTGCAAAGCAAAGACACACCGGGGATAAAAAGGTTCCTTCAGGTTTGATGCTTTCTGTTTTTACTTTCCTTATCTGTCTCCTTGATACTTTAACCCCCTTCCTCTATCAAAACATCACATTAATTCCCAGCATCTCTTCTTATTTTTCCTCCTTGTTGGTCATCTTCCCGCACCTCCACTATCATTTTATCTCCATTTGTCCATCCTATTGTTCTCTCTCTCCTCTGCTGTGAGTGGAGAAGCAGCGGTTTATACCCTCATTAGTTCTCTGTCACCATGACTGATCACTAAGTACCACCTGGCATCAAAAGACGCCTATTAATCCAGCAGACACCTGCTCCGTGTGTGTGCAGAGAGTGTGTCTCTGTGAGGGTGCCGAGGTGCTTCAGGATGGCATTTGAATAAGAAAAAGAGGGCATGAATACAGAACCGTGTTTAGGCAGAAGTTACATGTGTGAGTTTTGTGTTGCTGTACTTACGTGTGCAGGGCATGGACGCCGGGTCAATAGCAGAGCGAAAGTATCCCTTATCGCAAATGCAGGACGTGGACCCCTCTCTGACAGAATAGCTGTGAAGAGGGCACTTGGAGCAGGATCCGTCAGTAGCCAGGGCACGGTAGTAACCGATCTTGCAGGCTGAGGGATGATAAAGATTCAGAGAGGAAAGTATTTTGGTTAGATGTGAATGATGGCAAAATCCAAAATTAACATGTTCACATGAAATTAACAGACCTCCCAGCCTATCATAGTTCTACCTGTTAGAGGAAAAATATGAATGGATCCATTTAAACCTGGCTTTGAAGCACGCATCAAAGGGATGCTGCCGTAAACGCAACTCTCATGCAACTGTGTGAGACTCACAATGGTGACGCCCAGCTGCAAGACCGAGAATTTCACTTCATTTCTCTGCAGCAACATGGGACAAAAGTCTGAGTTCAGATGTCTAACAGCTTTTACATCATGTTTTAAGTCCCTGCTTATGTTGTCACAAACTTTGCTGTACAGCTACACGCCGTCTGTCAAAAGACGACTAAAGCCTCCATTCTCTGCCGCTTGATGACGATCCAAAGTGACGAATTTAACCACCTTCTCTGTAATCTTTCAAGCCTCTTTGCTCCTTCAACAGTAATTATCTGTCAGTGTAGCAGTCTCTTTTCTGGTGCTTCAATGAACTCCTCACTCTTAATGTTGCTTATTCAGTTTTCAGACATCGTATTTAATCAGTAGAACCGTGCACACCCTGCTGAACGATCGCCTGGCATATGCAGGTGGCTGTCAGACTGTTTTCACTTCCTTCCCTATAACGTTTCCATAGTTCTGACACTTTAGCCGCAGGGTTGCTAACGCTAAAGTTACAGACTAGCCTGTGTTTATGTTCCTGCCTTTGAGCCATCTGTCCCTGGAGGGTTGTTGTTGTAATCTGGTTGGCTGTGCATATGTGTTCATGAATTCAAGTTTAACCCACTTGGATGACAGGGCACTTTCAGAATAAGCATGATAAATTATGTGGATTTAAGAGGCTTTGTAACATTTTGTCACCTTAGCATTGCAGCTGACTTCAACTAATTGTTTTCCATCAAAAAGCAAAAGGGAAACTCTCTGATCTTTCCCGTTTTCCTCCAATTAGCCACCAGAAAGCATTTGTAACCCAGAGGCTTTTACTTCTCTCCCTTAATTCTCCATCTTTTGTCCTTTCTCACGAACCTGCATTATCAAAAAAAACAAAACAAAAAAAAAAACTGAAGGGGGAAACAGGCTGTGATTTCCCCTGACAAAAACAGGAAGATCAAATAACTGCCCCGTGTCTTTCTCACAAATTTAAGCCATGCTCCATTGGCAAGATTTGCAGCCGCAATGAAACCAAAGCCACTGGCATTTCGGACCATTTAACAAACAAATGCCACTGCACTTGGCACACCAGGAGCTCTGTCACTCTCAGAGGGTTGTTTTCACTGTGGGAGTCCGAGCACGCACGCCTCCGTCTGAAAAAGGTAACCTAAGTGACACTTTTTCTGCTTTTGGCGACAGTGCTCACCTTTCTTTTGAGTGACAGTTTGATTGGTAGGCTCGTGTTTCAAGGAGTTTCTCCCTCATCTATCCGTTTCCATAATGGCCGGGGAAGCCTTGCAGGGTTATATTTCACCCCCTGAGCGCTGAACCAGAAGAGGAGGACAAAAGAACAATTCTCTAAGAGGTGCTGTGCAGACAGTCGAGACACCGATTGGACCAAATAACCTGTCAATCAATGAGGCTGCCGTGGGCTCAGATGTGGGTAACGAATGGTAGCAAGGCCGCGGTTAGGTGGTGTGTATTAATGTGTGTGATATAAAACAAACACTGGAGACAGAAGGATGAATCCGTATACTGTCCCAACAAGATAATTACATGAGTTTGGTTCAGCTTGATACACAACTGTTTATATTTCAACTGTCAACAACCAATCCAAACTATCTTTTTCCCATCCTGCTGTTGGGGTACTTAGGGTTCCTATCTGACCCTAAAATGTAGAGCTAGGATGGTCTCTAGAGGGTGCAGCTGACTGTAGAAATGCAAGCATGATAAGGATCTATTATACCAAACTAGACCAAACTGTACTGGACCAAACTTGATCCTGTGGTTGAAATCCAACAGAGCAATCACAAACACACACTGACAGTGTCAAGAAACAATCTAACAAATAAAGCCAATGCAGGGGTGCAAAAAATGCAATCCTTCATGTGTCCACTAGAGGTTGATTTAGCAAGGAGCCCATACCTAAGTTCCTCTTTTTTTGTTTTGTTTTTTATGCAGGAATAAGCATGTTCACTATGTAATCTGGCCCCAACTTAATTTATTGCAAAATTTGTGAACTTTGAGGATTTTAGTCACTTTGGAACTACCCTTGTGATAACCATCTTTAGACTTCATGACACCTCCTCAAAAATCAAAGGGGGACAATGACTAAGATTACATACAGTCTGTTTTGAATGAGAATTTGAATTGAATACATGGATTTCAATGTCACAATCACAGCTACACAAGGAGAAACAAGGTACAAAAGAACAGCCACATAAACAAGCTCTAACATTACAATAGAAAGCAATTCAGTGCCAATCTAGTACGCTCACAGAGGACAGACCTCTTCCTTCTGTCCTCCAACAAGAACACACATTCCTCCAACCATTCCCAAAATGACTGGGAAATCCCTCTTATAGAGGTGTAATAAAGTCAGGCTTTTTGCCCTGCAGCCGGTCCTACTCCTCCAGCTGCTGGATTAGGATAGCATAGCGTTAACCCAGCCCGGCTAGCGGCTACCTGCTGAGCCATTCTTCGCCCGTTCCCACTCAGTCAATCAGAGCTAAATCCTTTGCCGCTTCACTCACTAACGCTAAGCTAAAGGTCTCTTTGATTGTAGCCCGCAGGGGTGCGTGAAGACTGCGTTTCTTTTCTTCAGATTAGTCAGGAGGTGCTTTGTGTTATCTCTCTATCTTTAAGACAATCTTTCAGCACCTCGCCTCACATCCAGAGATAGAAGGACACTGGGATTTGTGGGTATTGTTTAAAAGGGTTGTGACAGCTTCAGGTGACAAAACACAAAGTTGCTGTTCGGGTTTGTACATGTGCGCTGACCAGGAAAAGTGTCCGGAGTTGAGAGAGGGGTCAACCAGCTGTTAGAGAGGATGGCCCTTCACTGAAAGCTGCAGGGAGAGTTAATTGAGTCCTATGCTTCACAGCCTTTGGGCCTGAGCCTATTTAGAGTGGCGCAGTCCGACACCAGCCTACCTCAAACTGTGCACGGTTGATGAGTTTTCCTCATCAATTATTAAGCTGTCCCAAGCTGACCCTAGAGTCCCCACAGGCTGTCCGAAAATTCCTTACTCAGCTACAAATCCCTGTTTGAACCAGACACACTCTTGCATATCCATCTGCGGTTTGGCGTTCCAGAGTTCAAAAATTGTGTTTGAAAATGTGAAGTCAACTCAGAAGGGCTTGTTTACAGCAGCGACTGCCCTGCAGAAAGAAACAGTCGGGGGAAAAGAAAGGTCGATATCCGAGTAAAGCTGGGGAATTTGCTTCCTATTAGGGGTGAGAGTGTGTGTTTGAGGGGAGAGACCGCACTAGTGGGCGGTCCAAGAAACCGTGGCTTCAGAGAGGAATCTCCCTTAAGACTTGTTGGATTTATCACTGCCCGGGCCAGCCCCGCAAACCCACACACACACAGACGCAAATACAGACACACACCAGCACAGATGTATTTAGTTTTACTGGATCTGACTGGAGGAGCTCATCATATCCCCTCTAAAGTTAATCCTTCTTTTCCACGCTGTCTTTTCTGCACGGTCTCGTCTGCAGCTCCCTGACTCCTCTGTGTTATTTTTCCTCGCTCTATCTCTCTCTCCCACTCTCCTCAGCTTTCTCTCTGCAGGCCTCCTTTCAGACAGAGAGGGGTTTGTCAGGTGCCAAATCCCTGAGCTGAGAGATCAAAGGCAAACAAAGAGGCTGGTGACTTACTGTTCTATTCTGGAAAGGCAAAAAAATGGATCCCTCATAGACCAGGACATCGCATTCTTCCCCCTTTTTTCCTCCCCCAGCAGCTCTTTCACTCATTCAGCCCTCCTCTCTGGCTTTAGTCCCTTTTCCCTTTTGTCAGTCCTCCCCCCACCCCTTCCTCCATCCCGTTGTCTCTTCGTTAAAGCACGTTTGGAGGGAAGGGGGCAGTGAGGGTAGAGGGAGTGGGTAGTGGGAGTTAATGAGTAGTTTTGTCTGTGTGGTGGCTGAATTGGTTGCGCCGCGTGATGGGGAGGGGGATGAAACCATCGCTGCAGCCATTTGCAAAAAATAGACACACGAGAACTAATGATATGATGATCGCGACGCAAGCGCGAGCCAACTCAAAAGCAAGCGGAGTTTTCCTCTGAGTATCAGCAGCCTACACACCGGGCTTTGAACAGCCATACATGCTCCCTTATCTGCAGTTTAAATAAAACCACATCCACCCACACACCCACCCACTGCATCCCACCCTGAGTGACCCGCATGAAAAGCCTGATAGGCAAGCCATTCTGCAGCCTCCACAACAAAGTATCCAACACACTGGGGACTGAAAGCATGAGAGCTAACTTGTGTTACAATGGCCGGCCAAAAACCCAGGGAACATAACACCCAGCACACGGCACACAATAACAAGGCCTGCCCAGGCAGAACCATCGCTCCACTGACAGTAAAAAAAACAAAAAAGGAAAATTAAGTTCAAACTACAACGCTCTCCATCCTTTCAAAGCTGAGCTTTATCTTCTGAGGGTGATGAAAACTCGGCCGCTCTTTTTTAGTCATAACAGACAGTGAGCGCTCTTCAGAGGAGCAGGCAGAGGCATCCTCACAAAGACGCTCTTTCAAAAACCAAGCGATCAGTTTTCAGGACCTGGGGGCAAGGAGAGTCTCTCCTTCTCCTGCACTTTAAGGAGCCAACCATCGTTATTCAACCTGCTCCTCAGACATATCAGACTGCCTTTGTATTTCTCCTATCTCTATTTTTTTCTCTGCCCCCCTGTGGAAAGCACTCCCCGACTTGGGTGAGACTCCAGCGAGCAAGGATTTCTATTCTGAGGGGGCTTTGCTTACCAGCTGGCTGCAGTCCAAAGGTGAAATCAAAACAAGAAAACATTCAGTGTCCTGTAGGAATATCCTGTCATTCTCACCAGACATGCAAAAGATTATAAGTGCACCTGAACAGGGCTGCACACTACATCACAATAGTACTGATACTGCAATATGAGCATTGTCCCAAAAATCTTTGGTAATTAGCAAACAGTTCAATGTTTGCAACAACTACTTTCAAACGTAGCATGCACATTTTATTTGGAAGATGCAGGCCCCAGTGTTGTAGCTATGCTACATTAGGATGTCGTAAAATGAAGCTTATCCTTATTTAATAAAACCTAACTGGGGATAACTCAGCAGTTAGACTGAGGCGTCTCAGTTTCAAGCTAAAAGGCCGAACAATATATTGCAAAAAAAAAACAAAAAACAGATAAGTTTGTTTCATTAGAGGATGTAGTCTTCAAACCTCATTTATATGGTTACATTTCTGGTACTTTAAGTAAAAAATAATAAATCACGAAGAAATCATACTGCAATGTCATTTTTTCCCCGGTATCCTGCAACCCCACACCTGAGCCACTAGCATGGGATAAGTAGCCGCTGACCGTTAGCATCTGTCGCAGGAACAGCAGGAGAGTGGAGCAGGTTAACTCATTAATTCCTTCTCTGGGGGTTATTAATTACCTCCGGCCCAGACAGCGACACGAAGCCACACGGGCAGCGAAACCCATCAGCGTGATGGATGAGGGACACACGGCCACCGAAACTGATCACCATGATTGATGACATTACACTCATCACATATCTTGACCTTGACCTGAGGGGAAAAGGTCCCGTGCTCGTGCTGCCCTTCTCTTAAACGCAAAAGCGTAGAAAGTTGGGCAGTGACATCTGGACTGACATCCTTACTGGTGTTAATGAAGGCTAAGAACAAAAGCCAGCAGGGCTAACGATGTTAATAATACACCAACCAACCTCGCTGACAATCACGGCTGCTTTAATGGTGGCCGGTGCCAGGGGGGTGCAAGAGTTGCCAGCAGTTTGTCTGTCAAGTACCAGATGATTTATAACTGTATTTTCAGCAGCACCAATCCATCATGCAAGAGCCACCATAGACACTGCCCTAATTAAAATGTCTGTACCTGACATAAAGGAGCGGCAGCTGCAGGAGCAGAAGAGCAAAACAGGCTGTAAAAATGAAAATTACAGCCACGTCAGAGAGTGTCTTCCTGAAATGTGCTTATTTACTGCACTTTATGGGAGCCAAACAAACTCCCTGTCATAGGCATTGAGTAACAAGGTTTCTGTCCATGATAAACAGACTGTTTCCTGAACTACAACCTTAGATGAAAGTTTTGATGCTGTGATAAATGTTGATAATAACAGATTTTGATGGTTTTCAAATCAATCAAGGCCTTTACAGATAGAGAAAAGACCAAATAGCAAACGCTAAAACTGTGAAAATGATATCGACATTCTAAATTTGAGACCAGAAACATATTTCAATAAAGTTGATGCAGTGTCATGTTTCCTATTGTGTGTCATCAACTCATCTTTAAACAACTAGTACATTTTAGTCAATCCAGCAGACCCGTTTCTGAAGTTTTTGAAAGTCATATGTTGTCCCATTCTTGACTGATAGAGGTTTTCAGCTGCTCAGGTTCAGGGTCTCCTTTCTTTTCAACGGGTGATAAGTCAGGACTTTGGTCAGGCCAGTTTATAAGCAGGACTCTTCTACTACAGAGCCATGCTGTTGTAATCCCTGTTGTCAGAATGAGGTTTGTCAGTGTCTTGCTTAAATATGAAGGTCTTCCCTGAAAAAGTTTTTGTCTAGATGTCAGCAGATGTTGCTCCTAAACCTGTAGATATTGTTCAGCATTAATGGAGCCTTAACAGATGTGGAGGCTACCCATGACATGGACTTTGATGATCCACTTACCATCAGAGATGCTAGATTTGGACTGGGAGCTGATGACAAAACAGATGGTCCCTCTCTTCTTCAAAGCAGAGGATGCAGCATCCATGATTTCCAAAAAGAATGTCAAATTTCGAGTCAACAGACCACAGTCTTAAATCTTAAATGGGTTCAGGTCCAGAGAATGGCCCATACTGGGACTTCTTGTACAGAGTCCTGCCTGTTTTTAATGGCATGCTACCTGAGGGCCTGAAGATCAGGACCACCTTGTGTTGTTTTTGGACCCTGTCCCTTTCGTAGAGATTTTTGAGAAACTCTTCCCATCTTTCGTCTGACAGACTCAGCATCTCTGAATGTCCTTTTATACCCAGTCATGTTACTCACGTATTGATAACTAACCTCATTAATTGGAGATGTTCCTCTGGACCATTTTTTTTTTTTTTTTTGGAAAACCATATTTTTAACCATGTTGCATGAAGTTATAAGGAGCAATTTTTTTATTTAAACACTTGCGGTGTTGTCTCTGCTCTATTATAAACTGGTTAAAGACTTTAAATAATTTGGAAATTTTTTGGACTTGAGGTCACTGAGGTGCCACCTATATTCTTTCTGTTTGGATTACATAACTGAAAAACTGAAATATTGTTCTGGAAGCTTCCTGCAGACCAAGGTCGCCGCGTTCTTATTGACACGTAGGCCACAGTTTCCTCCCAAATTCCTCTGGCCTGGCCTTAAGAAGGAATATTAGTACAATGGTTATATCGCGAAAATCTCAAGTATTCCACCCAGCTACTTCAGAATGGATGAAACCACTCCCTAAAATGAGGCTGGGGTACTGGCTGTGGGACCAGAAGATCTGTCAAAAGAAAGGAAAAAAAGTGGACAAGAAAGGGAGAAGTATGGCAGCAAACAAGTCCATCTTTGTTAGGTGAAACTCTGTTTGACTTGGCTGTACTGGGTGTGGACGGCTCAGATTCCACTTCTGCACCCATGCCAGGTCCGCAAGAGTGGCACCACCCAAACCTGGGCAGAGCGCCAGCCCCGCCATGGACCTTTTGTGACCCAAGATTTGCACAGCAGGTGGGTAATGGTAATGGTGTACTTCAGGGCAGACATGACAGAGATGGAGACACAAACAGAGGCTTACAAACATCTGCACACCTGCACACTTAGGTATGCACACAAAGCCCTTCAAAAGCCCTCAGGACTGCACAGATGCACCCTGGGATACCGTATATGCAAAATGATTAGGTATAAACAAACTTCAGTCAAGGTATTGTCTTGGTCCAATTTTCCCTAACTCTCCTGGGGTTAGAGTCCCATGTGGGACGCGTATGTGTGTGCGTGGGTGTGTGTGGGTGTGTGGACAGGCTGTATATCTGGCATGCTTTCCTGACATTGTGTACGATAAAAATGAGGTGCATTTCAATTCAATTATTAAAAAAAGGCAGGGAGGTAGGGGAGTATGCTAATGTTGTTGTGTGAGGGAACGCTCTCATTGCTAAACAAACGGGACAGCTGAACTATTCTGCTCACAGCAACAAGTCAAGGAGAATGGAGCAGGAAAAGGGAGGATGTGTGCGGGAACACACAAACACACACTAAGAATAGGTGAAGAGGAAGAGGAAGCGATAGGGAAGCGGTCTCAATGGGGCCTCATATCCAAATCTGTAAACAAGTGTAAACCACGTGTAGTGCTGTGGCACAAATACAAAACAAATCACAAAAAATTCCCCACAATGCCACACTCAAAACACAATTCTTTTGTCACATTCGCATGAGGTAATGGTTTCTTAATTAATGTGTGCATAGAGAGAGTATAGAGCATGTTTGAGAGCTGCGAGATGAGGTGTGATAGAGGGTTATTGTGGCTTGTGAAGCACAATTTTTACCAAATACAAGACGACCAGAGGAAGAGACGTTAATCTGCCGGGATGATTCATGGCATTTTGAAATTATTAGCATCAGTCAGGATCAGGAGGCTGATTAAAAAATACAATTGATAATGTCTAATATTGGCATTACATATCCACCATCATCTGGTCAGCTGCAGAGTCACTGGTATCAGTATCATCCTGTTGACTACCTTCTAGGACTAATTTCTAGAAAACGAGCAAATCTTGTTTTTGTGGATGAAACTATAAAAACTTGTAATAATAATGCCGCATATTCAGGACAGTTTAAATGCATTTTTTAATCAGAGATCAATTTTAGTAAAATGATATTTGTTGAAAATTGAAATTTAGAAGCTGACTTTTCCATTTTTTAAATCTTAAATGCATCCTTATGTTTCTCTCTCCACAGGTGTGTTAGTTCAGGTTGCAGCAGACTCGCTCTGGTGAGAAGACTTCAACACAAAGCCAACTTAAAAAGGAAAAATATGTTAAGTCTCGCTACAAGAAATGGAGAAATACAGATGAACAGGGTCCTTATGGAAAGCTTATTTAGCTCGGCTGCAGCGTTCTTGCCCTGGTCAGAACATTGATTCAGGATTTGCCAGCTCTGGGATTATAGCAAAATGACCCTTAATACATATTTACAAATCAAAATCTGAACAGATTTTGCTCCCCTCTCTAAATACAAACAAAAAACTAAGCAGATTCAATCATCCTTCACACACGCGTCATAATTGTAGAGTATAGACATGTGTCAACACTTAAGTGTGCAGAAACATGCACACAAAACCTTTAATGACCTGCTTGTCTGTGGTCTCGGGGTGAGTTTAACAACAATCAGCTCTGCCGGTTTCTCAGAAGTGGCTCTGCAGTTTACGAGGAGGGGTTGGTGAGGGTCGGCCAGTGGGTGAAAAGGAAGGTATTTTTAGGTTGTTTGTTTAGGTAATCTACTCGTAGCTCCCAGACGACAGCCTGTCTGGGGCCTCAAAGCACCTTCCATTGTGCATGTGTATGTGCGCGAGGGTGTGTGTTCCTGAGAACATTTCGCACACCAGTGTGTGTGAATTCATGCAGTTGCATGTGTGTGTGTTTGTGAGTGTGCGGTCAGTCAGGGAACATAAAAACTTTCCCGGGTCACTAGCTCTTCAACAGCTCATGTCAGCCTGATGACGCTCTGCTGGTCTCCGCTGTGGCTGTCACTGCTTTAACCTTTGACCTCTGCTGGTGTCACTCAGGCCTCAATCTGCAGACCACTCTCTCCCTCTTCTCTCTCTCTCTCTCTTTCTGAAAACAGCATCGAGGTCAGTGCCATCATGGAAGTGATACCCTCTGAGCTGAAACTGTGTCAGCTCCTGTTTGCATGGTATGGCTCTGCATGAGTGTGTGTGTGAGTGTGTGCATTCATCAGCTAGTAGCATGTACGCATGTGTGTCCACAAACTCAGGTTGCATGTGCTGCCCTCCCTAACCTCCAGGCTGGTTGAACCTGGCCTTGCAGGGGGTTTGCTAAAGGGGAGTGAAACAGGAGCCCGGGGTTAATGGCTGCTGCTTAGGCAGGGTTACTCTGCTAATGTGTAACATTTTCGCCTTTAGCTTTGATGTGAGGACAGACACACAGGCTCTGCGATGATGGGAACAAAAAGCATGCACAGTGAGAATCTTTCACAGGCGGTTTTGAAGTGAGTGGGCACTGCTGAAAGAGGGTCAAGTTTCTGGGTTATATCTTACATTTCTTGTCTTTTTTCTCTCCAGCTCTCTCTCTCTTTCTCTCTGATGCTCTCCTCTTGCCTTTACTGTCATCTCTCCTTATCTTTCTCTCCTTTCATCAAGCAGAGTGATGCTCCAAACTTGGCAGGTTGGTCTGTGATTCAAGCAACACCAAATGCCTTGCAGAGCTGCCAAGAGAGTGTTCACAGCTCCCTTTAAGCTCCAGCTCGAGTCCACCATTAGTTTAAAGCAAAAATAACAAAATCAGACAAGAGCTCTACAGAGATAACCAAAGACATATACAATATAGAAGCTACATACAACATATAAATCAGCAAACTCGTTTCTGGGCTTTTCTGTGGAGATAAATCACTAAATGGAATTTTAAACACCGACTATCAAACTAGTCCAAAGGAAAGAAAAAATCCAGAAAACAGTCAAAATTATTAAACACAGCTAAACACATGATCATATAGTCTGTGAGTGTACAACTGGCTCTTACAAACTGCCATATTGAGACAGTTCAGCAGGATATTTGCATCCCATTATGCCAACATCGTTTTATGTGTATGTACTAGCTGTGCTTCTCATGCTTCAGCAATAACAAGATTCATGCTTTAGAGGCTAGTTTGACCTAACTCCAGGTTAGCATAAGGAAACTCACAGAAGTTCATTTAGATATTTTGATCACAATAACAGTATGTTTTAGAAAATATTTAACTTTGTAAATATCTAAATTATAACTTCTGTCAACTCTGTACAAACGCTATAAACATACTGTATTTTTAACATTAACCTCTCACTGTTGAAGCTTGCATCAGTCAGGGCAACTACATCTACTTTTTCTCTGACTAAATGCAAATATCACAACTCTGCAGTTAGTGGCATTAGGCTGGCTGATATTGCTGAGAGTTCAGAGCATGTTTACTTTTTAGATTATGGAAAATACCACTTTTTTTCTTCAGCTCATATACAATATGCAGCTTTCCCTCTGAATGTGATATTAAATTGCCAGTGTTTATGCCTGATCACATGAACTGCTTCAAAGGTCTAAACCATCTCGACTAGACAAGACTTCCTAACTCTTCCAGATCACTCAAACCACTTAAACACAACTTTACATTTACACACTGACTGCAGAGGATGCTGTAGGAGGAGACCGTCAGTATTAGACCATCAGGGTGCTATCAACGGTCTACCTACAGACTATTTCTTCACTGTGTAGACGGTTCAGTGATCTTACACAGGCCTAGCTTCCCCACAGTAGTGATATTGACAGTAATATCAACCTGAGCTGCCAGAGGTCACGACACATACACACTAAGCTTGTTCAAAGAGCGATCACCGTCTGTACCCATAACCCCCCCCACTTCACCTTTCACATCTCCAGCCGTTTATCAGGACCACTAGACAGGAGTCAATTCATCTTTCTGTCTGCTGAACCCGACACACACTCTTCCTCTGTCACACACATTCACGCTCTGCTCCGACGTCTGCAGGGCTTTGTTTTGCTTCAACCACCTCTTTTTTTCCTGACCTCTTTCCTGTCTTTCTTTCTTTCTATCTTTCTTTCTCCTTCTTCTCTTTGCTGTACACTTCTCCATCATACGAGGCTTAAAGCGGTTGCATCTTTTTCTTCTCTTCCTCCCCTTGCAGTAGTATTTGACAGCCCGCTGCAGATCAGGAGGGATCAAGGTCCCTAATCCCAGAGACGTGCCCCAGCATGGACACACCTCTGCTTTTGGCTGAAAATCTGCAGTTCAGGATCCCCTGGTTCTGGAAGACCTCCACATCCCTAAATTACATTTCAGCTCTCCCACAGAGAAGTTACATCTCCGAGGCAGCCTGTGGTGTGTTTGATACACATGGAGTTTGCACGCTGGTATGCAGACACATGTATTCACAGCAAGAGGTCAGTCACATGATCCTTCTTCTGGGCTTTAACCAGGGGTAGCTGCATGTGTGTTTATAGAAAATGGCAGAAAGAGTTGCTGAGCAGCAACCTCAGTCTATTCACTTGTCGGAGATTTCTTTGTGGTAATGGTGAAGTGTTTCAAGGACACATGCAGATTAGACTTTTGAACATTTGCATGAAAAATTCTATAGCACTCTGAATCTTAGGCAAGAGCCAGCAGCCGGTTGGTCAAGCTTCACATGAGGGCTAAATGCTGCTGTCCTTGCTGTGTCCAGAAATAAAAATACATGAATCGCAGCTAAACTTAAGTGTTTGATTCACTTAACACTAAGTATGAACTCCGAAAAAGGGTTAAGGACAGTTAAGTGTTTTTTAACGTGAAAATGAGAGCCTTCAGAAATCCCCAAATGTTTTTTGCACCAGCTGCGCATCACTATCTACACTTTACAGTAAATTTTCCTGAATATTCACTACTGCATTGATTCACCCTGAGCCCTTACTGTGACTTTAGGCTGACAGGAGGAAGTGTAAATAGAGTAAGGCTGAAATGTTTTACTGTTTGCAATCAGACATGCTCCCTTTATACATTTTTGGGAGTTTTTTATGAGTTTCAAACATTTAGACAATTTAAGTTATGTGCTAAAACTCCTAAACAAAGAAACACATCGATAACTAAATGCTCTCACGGATTAGTGCACTGGTCTTTAGTTTGGCAGCCTGGATCAAAAAGTAAACCTTAATCATTCATAAGCCTAAACTATAGCTATTGCAGAAAACTATCCAGTTATTTCAGCAACAAGTTTGGAAAACTTCCATGTTGCAAAAGTTAAAACTTGTGTATGCATTTGTAAAATTAATTTCAGAAAGAAAGAGACCATCAACGCTGGGGGCTGCACAATAGACTGCAATTATGCTACATGTACATTCACAACAAACACAAAGTCTCAAAGCTGAAATATTTTGCAATAAAACAGAAATTTTTGCACGAGAATAAACGCTTCCTCACTCAGTTTGTGTAACATGTAACCAGCTGGATGGAGGCCTGAGTATACTGTCCGGGATTTAAACAATCATGATGCAGAAAGATGAAGCTAAATCCAGATTCTCAGAGTCATTGTAATGGTCAATAAAATGTTGTTTTCTACATTGATTACCCTCACACTGCGAAAACAGATTTAATGAAAAACAACAGAAAAGCATGAAACTGTGACTTAGAGCCAGTTAGCATCCTTCTATATTTGAATGTACTTGTGATAGTCTAACATTTGCATATGTGTCCAGCTGCACCATGGGCGTAATTGTAAATATATTTGACTATAGACTGTGCAACTTACTAGAGGATACCTCTAAAGGGTGCAGCAGAGAGATCAGGCTGTATGCAACAACCGAATTTGCCAAAAACATGGAAGAAAACCACTATGAACCAGCAAACCAATGCAACTGCTGTGTATAACTGTCTGAACAATGTTCTTGTGCATGTCTTGAGACTCTGCCATCAGGCGGTTTCTGCAGAGAAACCTTTTATAAAGCTTTGATAAAGTTGCCATTGACTTCTCTCCTTTATTGTTTTGAAGTCCACAAGCTTGTACCTCGGAGCTGTAATTGGTGAATCAGCTCTTCTCTAATGCAGCTGTTCATCTTTCCTGCTGATGATTCATCAGAGAGTTTTAAGAGCATTTCAGTTTTGGAAGTGCTCCAAACTCATCCGACATAGTCCATTACTACTCCATCGCAGACATCCTTGCAACAACCTTTCTCCTCTCCACATACAAGTCACACAGTCCGAGTGTTTTTTAGTGTTTTTCTGTGTTGCAGGTATAGAAAAAGGGATCTCAGCCCATTATAATGGACACAGTGTCCACTCTCAGGGCACATCAGATTACGGAGTAGCCCTATATTGCCAGGCTTTTTGTCATAACCTCTAACTGATTGCCACGGAGGAGCCTTTGATTTGGCCGCTGAACTCTGCGCCCCTTGAGAGAAAGGACAGCGAAATGAGAAGAAAAGACCACCAGACCGCTATCGCCAGGGCAGGATGAAGGGGGCTTAAGATAGAAATCAGTAAGAGAAAGAGAGAGGGAGAGATGACACATTTCAAGGTGTTTGCAATCAGCCGCCTTTTGTCAGCAGCTGAGGGAGAGTTGGAGGAACATCTGTCTGCAGAGCTACTGCGGGCAGCTTTGTCTGCAGGCGCAGATCGTGCAACAAGATTGGAACATTAATAGAAGTTTATGATACAGCCTGTGATATGACTGCTGCAACAGATGCACAGAATAAATATAGATAATGGTGCAGACACACACATCAGTCCGCGACGCTCACACACACACACACACACACACACACACACACACACACACACACAGAAACACACAAAGACATCTCTGCCATCAGCATCATTTTACCCCAGATCACAGGGATTTCCTTGAAATGGTGAACCCACGGATGAAGTGCAGAAAAAGCACAGTTGCCAGACTGGAACTAAATCTTTCCACTTCACTTCCCCCCTTCCCTGTTTTTTTTTTTGGTTTTTTTTTTGGTCTCTTTCTTTCTCCCTCTCCCTCTCTCTACCTCTCTCGCTGCCTTCTCATCCTCATCTCCTCCGCTCTCCTTGGCGAGGGATGTCTGTCCTCCCTCTCTCTCAGCACAAAGACCATGGCAGAGGCCCTCTTTCTCTTTCATAACCTCCAGTCCACACATGCCCACTTGATCTCTGTCCACTTCTCCCTCTCTCCGTCTTTCTCTGCCCATACATTCATCAATTCGTCTCTTTACCGCTCCTTCTCTCTGTCAGTCACTTAAAGGGGAGGAGGGAGGAAATTTTTAAGGGAGGAAAAGAGAGACAAGAGGGAGAGAAAATGGAGGGAGACGGGATACAGCTGGAGGAATGGGGGAACGGCAGGGTTAGAGAGTGACAGAGAGGGAGAGGGTGAGGGTGAAAGGACTGCAGGGTTGTGTTGGTGGAGAGCTGGGGTATTGATTCGGGGCCTTTTGACATGCTAATTTGCTTGCTGACTGCTTTAATCGCTCCCTCTTCCCATCGCGGGCTTCAAAGAGAGGATGCTTTTCAAAAAGATGAGAGAGGAGAGCAGAAGAGAGAGAAAAAGAAATTTTATCATCCTTTAAAAGCCCTTTTGACACTTGTGTGGCTCTATGCGCCTGATGCCAGCTGACAACCGTGTTACTCCTACAACAGCATATCATAACGGCCCATGTAGACAATCTATTATCTTATAGTTTACGGCTATCTATGCTGCACTCTGCACATATCCATCATCTGCTAACTATAAAGTTTCATTGAAAACTCAAGACACAAGTGTTTATATACCAGCTGAGTACTTCTCCAACAGCTCCATGATCTTCTTAAAAATGCAGAATCACTGAGATGAAAGTGGAGCGGGTTTTCTTAAAGTCAGTCTTGCATAGATGTGGTCGTCACACAGTGTCTCAAAGCCACAATGTCACTGTGGAAATGTTTCAGCTACTTGCAACATGTGCAGTAGAACTGCGTTCAATATTATCAACTAAAAACTAACATGCAGCAGTATACAGTATACCGGCTAGTGGTCACTGATGGAGGGGGCAGTCAAGCTCTTATCTCCCTTTAAAAAGCCGACATGGATAAGTGCATGGACTACATCTACAGCTGATGTGATTCCTGGATGACTTTCAGACTTCTCTTTTCCACAGAGCAGACTGCAGACCAGGTAATCAAGCTGATGAAAACAAACTAGAGCCTGAGGAATCAAATCTAATCAAATTTATTACAAAGACATTAAAAACAACCAGCGTCGACCAAAGTGCTAAAGCATAAAACAAGAGATAAACTAGATGTGACAAAGTATAACGGTAATGATTTTTTTTTGCTTGTCTTTGGTGCCCAGACAAAACTTGTAAATGTTTGTAGAGGAAGAGGACCTAACTAAAAAGAGCTTTAATGCAACTACATAGGCTGGGTCACCCTTTCCCTTTAAGCCTCATCAGAGGAACAGACAGCAGAAGCTGGTCAGATGATCAGAGAGCTCTAGGAGAGGACAGGGACGAGAGAGGTTCAGAGATGAACTGTGGGGGGAGGTGATGTAAAGCTTTAAAACCAAACACAAGAAAGTTTAAATCAATCCTGATCTTGAACAGGAGACAGTGTCAAGTCAGTGTCAAGAAAACAACAGTTGGTAATATTAGAAATACTGAGATCAAGCTCCCTCTACTGTGGTTAAAACCTGTTGCCTCTTAGATAATCTCAAGATGACTACACACGAGAATGTTAGTATTAAATGTTGATGAGAAATGTTAGTATTAAAATATATACTGTAAATAAACATGACATTATTTTAGCAGCCTACTTATGATACACCATCATATGTGCAACATGTACATTGTGTACAATGTCACCATCATTTTCCAGGATTAACCAATAATGACCCTTCCTCTAAAAACACTGCAGCCCCTCACTTGAACACAAAGAACTGATGTTTGTGTATGCAGAGTCTGTATCTGGGCATCACATCACACATAGAGTGTGAACACAGAGCAAAGTTGTTGCCATCACAGAAAACCCAACAAACGCTCAATCTACGGGTCAGAAAATCCAAAATTCCAGGAAAATCTGTGCGTTTGGCACCTCTGTGGTGTTGATCTGTGCTGTTCAAGAGTTTGACACTTGTTGCTTCACTTTTTTAGTTTCAAACCACAGAAATGATCTGCAGCCATGGCAATTTCTGCCTGTCTAAAGCACAGACACACACGTCATTGGTGGAAACCGGGAAAGCGTGGTGCAGTTCCTCAAAAAAAAAAAAAGACTTTGGAAAATAACAAAAAGGAACTACATTTTCACAGGAAAACATTAGTACTTCAACAGGGGATGAATGAGTTTCGGATGGATGATGGTGTGGCAGGTGCTGTGGGAGCAGTACGACCATCAGCCCCGGGTCACGCTCGATCACCAGCAGCCTCCTGCCTGAACAGGGCACGGCGAGGCGATGGAGAAAGAGAGAGCGAGGGGGTGATGAGTGTCGAGAACTGCAAAGGGAACAAACAGTGAGGCAGGACGGCAGCCCGAGCAGGAAAAACATTTCAGCACCTCCGCTAATGACGGCTGAATTACCACCAACCCCCCCTCTCCTTCACCCTCCTCCTCCTCCGCCTCCATCCAGTCAGGGAGGATTTGTGTGTGCTGAGGGAACTTTTTTTCTTCATTTGTGGAGCTAAACAGGAGCAGAATGTAAAAAAAAAAGGCTCTAAGCAATTATTTCAGCAGAAAGAGGAGGGGGTGTGAGATTGCTGTGAGACATTTTGTCCTCCCTTTCTGTATCTGTTGTTCTTTCCTGCTCTCTGTTGGTAATAGATTCCTCTTCTCTTTTCAGCAGCACAAAATGAGCCTCTCTGGTGGCGGAGAGAGTGATGAGTACATTCACCTCCATTCTGCTGCGCTGTGCTCAGCCCCGAGTGTGTGTGATACATATTTATGACTGTGTCTGCGTGCACGAGTCTATTACTTAACATGTCTGTTCTTTGCACATCTGTGTGTGTGCAAATAGTCTCTACATGTGAATGTGCGCATGCACATACTGGTCCCTGTCTCCAAGGACACCCTGCATGTGTCCAGATTCTTAACACGCAGGTTTGCGTGCACGCTCAAACTCTTGTGCATGCGTGTTTGTGCGAACAATGACGGGTGGTGATGTTCTATGTGCCGCTGCGAGCTGCCTCACTCCCCACAGTGAAGGTAATCTCATTATTCAGCCCACTTCCTGCTGCTGCCACCAGAGACAGGCTGACAAACACTAACCAGCAAGACGGCCAGTGGGAGAGAAAAAAGAGACGAGGACAGAAAAGACAGAGTGTGAACTGGAGAAAACCTCAAGCAGAAACTCAGCCGAAGAAAGAAAGGAGGAATGTATGAAAAGAGGAGAAAGCTTGTGAGGAGAAAATGAAGCAACAGAAAATTAGGAAAGACAGTACAGGAGGCATGGATGGAGAAAAACAAGCACCCAAGCCGGCCAAGAAGAAGATGCAAATACTTAATTCGGGTGTATGCAGAAGAGCGGAAGGAGAAGGAGGGAGGGGGACGCACAGCAAGAGACTCAGTCTGTGTATTTAAAGCCACCGGGGACCCACGGGCTAAATAGAATTACGTGGTGAATTTAGAATGATGTTCCCAGGCGCATATTTAGCACTGTCAACAGAGGGAAAGAGAGAATAAAAGACCTGCACACACACACGCACATACACACACATAGACTGTGTGAGATGCATGAGAGAGAAAACTTCATCCCTAAACCTCTTAATCCAACATGAATGAGAGTTTCCAGCTCGGCAGACTGCAGGGAATAGAGAGGGGTGAGGGGGTCTCAGGTGGGAAAATGCTCTGATCACACACTGACATCACAATCAGGCACTAAGCCATAGGAACACACACACGTGCATGCAAACGAGTGTTGAGCCAAAGTGGTGACAATGACCTTTGTCCATATTTTGCAGCATTTATATAAAAATAGAGAAATGTGTGGTGGTGTGCTTGAGATAAAACAAGGAATAGAGGGGAGAGGATCAAATGTGCATGAGGAAGTTTTAGACACCAGAGGAGCAAATTCTGAAATGGAGAAAATTGCACATCTTTGGATGGATTTCAGTATGCTGTTTCTGGGAATGTGTTTTCAACACCATGGATAATAAATAATCCAGCTAAGTTTGCACCTCCATCATTCCTAAGCAAATCAGTGGGCGGGGGGTTTGAACACAGTTGTGCTGTTAGAGGTCCTCAGATAGTTTATTCCTTTTTGAAAAGGGCTTTGTGTGAAAAATACATAAAGGTATCAAATAATTTTGCAAATATCAAGTCATTTGTGTTGATTGTGGCGCCCCCTGCATGCAATACTGAACTTTTTAAAAATTGTTGATTCCGTCCTGCACATATGTCTGCAGTAATATTGATGTGCGATAAAGACGCCAAACCTGAATGCATCTCTAACATGACTCCAAAGGAATAACCAAGCTTTCCCAAACAGATCATGTAACTGCACCAGGATCCTTTCAGTCCGTTTAATAACCTGATCAAACTCCTCACAGAGGCTTTAAGGAGTGTTTGTTGATTGGTGAGGGTGACAAGTTGTGGATTACCAGCAAACAGCTGAACAATGACCTTACAGTCAGCAGTGTCAAGAGTGTCTCTCACCTTCACACCTTTTACTTAACTGTTTCCTCTATTCATGAAAACGCCGGCAAACACAACAAATCCAACTTGCTGAGTTTGCTGCAGCATCCTTCTTACTCTGCAGTCACTCTTGAGTCTCTGTCTGCCTGCTAAACAGAAAAAGCAGTCAAGGTAATTATCATTTCCCCATCATGACATACATGACTCTCCCTAATCTCACCCTTCCTCCCCTCCAACAGTAGGGACCCCTCACCAGATGAGGAGCGAGGGGTTGGTGTTAACCCCACTCTACCCCAGCAGAGTCTGTGTGGGGGGAGGTGGTGGTTGATGGGGAAAAGGATCTCAAATGCAAACAGACACAGTCCTCTCCTCTTAGATCAGGGGGCCCCCTGGCCCTCCGTGCCCTGGTTGCCCTTCTCGCCTTGGCCCTGGGTGTTCACCCTAACCACCCTTGGCCCAACGTAAGCACAGACACACACACACACACACACAAACCCCAGCCCCAGCTGTCAAAACCTTGACGACTTAATCAATCCTATATCCACAAGCCTGTCGGACGCAGCAGTAAGATGGATGCAGAAGAAGGTGACCTCTGACCCCTGCCAGGGTTGGAGAGCAAAACTCCTGCATACCCCTCCTCACCCCTCAAAACATCTCCAGTCTCAGCGGGCTCTACTGCTGCCCCAAACAATGATGGAGGAGAGCCCATTCATCCTGGGCTGGGAACCAGAGGCCAAGGTGCCCTTGTAACCCCGCACGAACACAAGACAAGCTCAGACCCACAAATTTGGGAACGCACACACTCAGACACACACAATAGGGCTTGTGTGGACCACTGGAAGCTATTTTAAAGAGAAGTTTCAGGCCAGCATGTTTAAGTATGGGCTGACACACTCCTTTGCACATGTTTTAACTTTTTAAGAAATCAAGGAAAGAAAAATTTACATATCTGTGGTAACTTTAGGATTAAACATGACCCAAAGCCTTGGTTGTCACATTTAAAGGGGACCTGATCTCACGCAGAGCTCATCACTTTAGGGATCTAACCAGCTCATCAGTGCACTCAAAGACTGACACCGGCCGGCACCTTTTAACCCCTGAGTCACCAAAGCAGACTCACTCTGGCGCCTCACGCACTAAAGCAGCATCGAGCTTTTAATCCAGTTTCCAATTGGAAGTGAAATGTTGAGAAACTTTTCAAACAGTCTGACTGAATCAAAGAGAGATGAAGCAAATGTATTGGCACTGCAAACTTAAACAAATTAAAGCAGATGCAGTGATATGTGAACTAAATGGATATATTGGCTTGAAAATCAATGCTGCCAGCTCTAAATCTGGCAGCGGCTGTGAGACTGCATTAGTCACATAAAATCACCGTTTCCAAATCCTTTGTTGCTCACTTTGGAGGGTACCAGCTAAACTGAAAAGCAAGCAGGAGGAAAAGAAGCCTTTTTCAGAGTTGCAGATGAGTGAAAGTTATAGTAGACAGTATGAGATCAGGCTCTCTCGCTGACTTGAAACAAGAGAGGTTATTACAGTAAAAGGCATGATATTAAGAGAGCCACTTCAGGGGAATTTCAAATGTGTAACTAACCACTTTCTGGCTTCTTTCCCTCCATCTCCATCCTGGATCTTTGAAGCCGACCCTTGGGACAGAAACCTGGCCTGAGAAATCTGAACCCAGCACCAGGGGAGATGGGCATCCTTCCAAGATAAGCTCAAATGATACTTTCTTTGGCACACAAAAAAAACACACAAACCCCATCTGTGAGCCCTTGCAACCGTTTGCCTCCCCACCCCCAGGCAGCCAGTGGTACCCTCTAAGTCAGCAGACCTGCTTGTCATGTAATTAGTCGGCCAAGATAAAGGCTCCCTCGTAAATTAAAAGAGGTGTAGTGGTCCGGCCCCCTGTTAATCACCCGTGCCCACCCTCTGACCCCTCACTGCTGGATTTCACTGCTTTTTGTGTTTGGTAGCAAAGGCTGGTTGGGGGAGCAGACCAAAAAACCATGGTGGCAGAATTGGCACTGGGACATCAGGGCAACCAGCTGCTGCTTAGCTTGGCAAAACTCTGCAGAAAGTAATGGGAAGATACTTTTTAGCAGGAACTAGGAACCTTTTCAGGAGTGCTGCAGTGCCTGATAACAGGGACCAGGGTGTAAATTGAGTTCCAGGGTACTTGATCTACTCTACTGAATTGTTTGGGGTAGGTACAGGAACCTTGTGAGGCCCAGACTGCAGCTGTTGTAATCTTTGACTTTTTTTTTTTCCAACAAAAGTTCAGCAGAGAATAACAGGCAGCGCTAGTGTCTTCATTAACCAAAAAAACTCTCCAGTATTTGGTAATTGGCCTAATTTTTATTAACCTCAAAGGAGTTTATGCCACATCGGAAATGCAGACTGTTGTTCCTGGTACTTTTTGTTCAAGATACTATTACCAATTTACTTCTGCATGTGGTAAGCTACAATCAACTACATGCAAGGAAAATTAAGTACATTTGGGACAGTCTTGGAGCACCCTGAAGGAGAAATTCATAAAGAATTACTGATGTTTTCCAGAACAGGCATTTCAAGGCAATTTTGTAAATTCACCTGCCTGCAGGCCCGAGGCCCTGTGATGCTCGTAATTTAAAAAACCTGGAAGGAGGCACTCCGCGCTGACCTTAAAACCTCATCAAACAGCCTGCTATAGGATCACAGTGAGCTGAGACTAGAGTAATCGCCTACGAAGGGCTATTCCCCTTGCCAAATAGCACCATTTCAACCCCATCTCACAGCTGTGTATTTTCTCTCTTCTCAGACCTGCTAGGAATGATAAACTCCTTTTTCTCTCCACTTCCCCCCTCTAAAACCATCTCTCTCTTCTTCTAGGCTCCGTTGGGAACAAGAAAAAAAACATGCGAGTGAAAGACACAGTGGTAGTGCGAACCAGTAGGAGCCCTACTCTCCCGGTGTCACCAAGTCTCCTGGGATGCATCCCATTGCACACACCTCCCAGTGGGCCAGCTAATTACTCCATTTACAATCATCATTGCTGCTATCACCCAGCCATTCACTGGAGAAAATACTGGGGAGAGTGGAAAAAGGATAAAAGACACATCCAACAGGGTGCGAGGTAGTTGAATTGAGGGAGGAAGGAAAGGGGAGGACAAAAGGACTGAAACATGTGGGCCGAAGATAGAGATACAGAGCAAAGTAATGGGGGGAACATTTTACGGTAAGATTCAGCAGGAATCTGGGGAGTTCAGGGGAGAGTTGACCATTAATAAAAAGAGAACAAAAGACAAATGTCAGTTCTTTACCTTGGCATTCTGAATTTCGCTCCTCAAATCCAGGGTTACACAAGCAATTCCCAATAGGCACCAGCCACTCCCCATCAGCCCCGCAGTACATTTTTGGAACCTCTTTCTCCTCTGAATTATCCACACATGAGCCACGAACTTCCACAAGTGAGGAGGTATCAGCTCCAGTGATGGTATCGGGAAACTGGGCCAAGTTACGCACCGCTAAAGGGCACTTCTTGTAGAAGACCCTGACAGACACCAGTGCAATGCATGCTCCAACATCCTGGAAGGCCAAATAGAAGCCCTTCCTGCTCAGGGCACCAACATCCCGGACTTCTGTGTTTAGCTTCATGATGCGATCACCGATGTCCACCTGAGTGAAGCTCTCATCGGCAGCGATGGTGTCAATCTTGCTGAACTGATTCTCACGGATGTAACGCTCCTTGTCGTTGTTGGACTCGTAGTAGTATAGATTAAAGGTTTCCTTGCAGGTTCCCATGACTCCAGGGAGGCTGTTGCAGTCTCGGAGGGTGAACTTGATCTCAATGTAGACACGCTGGGCCCCACCACGGGGGATCCAGTCAGTGCGGAGCCAGTTGTTCTGGTTTGGCTCCATGACATTGCACACCTGGTATGTCCGGATAGGGATGTTCTTTTCGTCCATAATGCTCACTTCCTCCCACTGGGAAAACACAAGACATGAAAATGTTACAAAGATGTTCTTCTCCTTCTTTTTGCAATAAAATACCTTACTTTGTACTGTCACTGGTGCTTGAGACCCTGGTGGTCTTTGCTGCTGCTCCTCCTACCTCAGCTTTTCACACTTGAAACAGATGAGGAATCCCATGTATGACCATGAAAGTGCATGGTGCTCTCAATATAGAGTTGTACTGCCAAATATAACTCAATGCATGCAAATATGAATCCACTTTGACTGACTGTAAGGCTCTTTTAATTGAAAATAGACTACACAAGTGATTGTACGTGACTGGGAGCGAGTCAAAGCCAAGAAGCAGAGATACTGTGCAAAAAAAAAAAATAGCCAGAAAGAAAAGTCAATATTTGAGTCTCAGCAGGGCAATTAATTGATGGCTAAACTTAATGCATATTTTATGAATGGCACCTAATAGACTTGTTAGGCCCTGATATAGAATCATGAAGATATTAATATTCATAGCTTTTCCTCAACTGTGAGAAAGGAAATTTGTAATTAGTTCTCTGCCTCAGTAATACCTACAGTTCAATTACTTGTCAGGTAGCTTTACGAAATCATCTTCCTGCACATGCAACTGTCAGTGTATTTCACGGCTCAGGGATTGAGAGATGAGAAAAGAAGCCATGAATTCCTGCTAAACTAAAGGTCTCTCAATCAATGCTAATGACTGTATGTGTGCCTACTTAACATGTGCATACATGATGAGGAATGGGAGAAGTCAGCACACATGTTCACTGCTGTTGTTAATATGAACTCATGAGTGAAAGGGAGACGCTGACGTGAGGTACATGGATCAGGTTCTGCAGCGCGGCCTGGCTTATTTTTTCCAGGAAGGAATGTTTGTTTTACTTATGATAGAGTTCCCCTCTCGACTGAGCCCCGTTGAGCAAATACGAGCATGTCTTTAGAGGCTCCGAGTGGCGTGTTCCTCTAAGTTTTGCACTGTGTGTTTTAAATGGAGTCCTTCACTGTAAACAAGAGCAGACAGGCCCCCGGCTGCTGCAGCTTCAGCCATTTACAGGGAGAAAAAAGTCATAACAGGACAGTGGGAGATACGCGACATACTGCCAGATTTGACTTGACGCCTTATCATAAACAATCTGACTCGGAGCCTTATATCCCCCGAGGAGGGAGGGATAATGCTAAACACAGCTGCTGCTGTATGATTTGAGAAAACGTCCATCATTTCCTGCCGCTCCATTCCACTCTCTTTTACTCCTTTTACCCCCTTTTGTTGTGGAAATCGAGCAGGGCTGAGATAAGGCCGCACCTTTCCCCGATAACCGGGAAGAGGCAGAAAAAGGCCAATTGGTCGTAATGAGAGGGTGAATGCTGGCTTGCTGGGGCTGCCAGGACCCTGTCAATCACTTGTTTGTGATAAATTGGTCAAGGGGAGGACCTGAGCACAGCGCCAGCCAAGTTCATTGAGAAAAGATCGCGAGCAGAGGCTGCAACAGCTGCAAGAGGTGAGATCATGTTCCCCCTGGGTTGGTATTCATTAGTTGGCATCAGTGTTGCTAATTTGTATTAATTTTCATACGACATTAAAGGCTCGCTTGTGCTCATTGTCGTATTTCTCTGATTGGAACAAATGGAGGAGTGGCTGCTGGCTGACAAAACATTTATTTATTGTGAGCAATTATTAATTTAGGTCATCCCTAGCAGAGGAAAAACGTGGCATTCTGGGTATTTTTAGATTATCATTTTTAAGACAGTCAAGGAAACACATTTGCCTTTTCTTGTCCAAACCCTTTCATGCTCACAGCAGACTGCATCACATGTTGCCTCTTTATCAGAACCCCCCTAAATATCCCAATTAGACTGAGGGATCATGCATTACGCCACCCTATTTTCCTCTTGCTTTATAGCGAGATCCAGTCGTCCTGCGGCAAGAGCTGAACCCCTCTGCACTTTCCCCCTTATTCATCCATTCCAGAAGACCCTCTCTCAGCTGCCAAGTTCCTCTCTCTCTCTCTCTCTCCTCCACTCAATGGTGGAAAGGGATATAAAGTTTCTCCACAAAGACCAATTCAATCCACCGTCTATTCAGGAAACCTGACGCCCGCTGCAGTATCGGCCCCTGCATCTGACCATTACAGAGTGGTTAGAGAGAAGAGGAGCGAGGGGAAAGGGGAGCAGGGGCTGCTGGTGGGCAGGGGGGCTATAGACCGATGGTTCTTAAAGTGGATTCTGGGGACCCCATTGAGGCCTTAAGGGTGTTTGAAAGGAGTGCCATACACAGTGTAATTGCAAATTTAGGTTTCCCCCATATTAAAGGTGCGAAGGAAAAAGGAAAATCCAGCATTGAACTCGACCTGAGCCTAAAACCACCACAGAGCAGACAGCTGCACAATAAATCATCAACAAAGATACTCCCATGAAGGTCTCACCAGGACAGGATCTTATCAAAGAGGGCTGTGTATCCACTCCAGAGCTCCTGCCAATAATGGATATTATCTCTCCATTTTTTCTCAATAGGAGACCATGCGTCCTAACAAGGGGACACTTCTTTGCAGGACTTACCCCTCCTTCTGTCGGGTTGGCGACCCATCCCAGCTCTCCCTGTACAGATCTGGAGTCCAATAACGTGACTGGAAATCAAAAGAGGGAGAAGAAGTGAGCGTGCAGTCTCGGCGTGTCCACACAACATCAGCGCTGGCATGTAAAGTATAATCCACGAAGTCCAACGAAGAGAAGGGGAAACGATTTTTTTGTCATTAAGTTTTGAATTGAAAGAGGGCTGCTCGGAAACAAAAAGACCCGTAAAGAGGAAAAATATCCTCATGGTGTGTTTCGGTAATCAGAAGAGTGGCCGTAGGCCGGAAAAGCCCTGATCATAAATGTGTCGATGTTTGATTGCGCAGAAGTCCTTATTGTCTGGTTGTTGATTTTCAGTAAAATAAGATTGTTCCTAAATTCATTTTCGCTGTATCTTTTAAAAGAGTGTATATGTCTTTTTTCGGGCCTCAGCTCCGATTTTGTTTGGTGCGATCAAAAACAATTAAAAAGCGCGTGCGTAAACTTAAACGAGAAAAAAAAGTGTCTGACACGCATAGTGGTGTAATTTCACGCTATGAATCCAAACATTTTCTCCCGTAAAGCTTTTATTTTGATATGTTTCTTTAGGGCCGCATGAAGCTTAAGTGTTTCGGTTATTTTTTAACTTAAATGTAACTGTTTCATATAAGTTATTAAAAACCACCCCGCTCTACAGGTTAAGGGTATTACTGATCAGGTCAAATGTGGATGGATTTCCTTGGAAATGTGAAACATTCACCTCATTTTTAAATTTCCTGAGCCCGTGGCACTGTTTTGCACACTTGTTTTGTCAGACTGCTTTACTCTGCGGAGCGAGGCAGAATCAGAAAAGTGCCGAAGACACCAACGCTTCTTCTATTGGCATCGTTTAAGCAAAACTGGGAATTTTTCAACAGTGTCTGTCCTAATGTGAAAGCGAAAAACAGTGTTTGCAGCAAAATGTTGAAACTGGACACAAAGCACCCCGGAATCCCAAGCAAACAACCCTGGACCCCAAACCCTCCGCGCTGGTTGGTTTTGAGCAGGACGCGACGTGCTGGATTTAAACAGAGTGCAGCTCAGTCACTATACCAAGCATATGCATGGTAGAGGATAACCAAACACCCTCTATAACTGTAGAAAAACAATGTTCTATATCTTGTGTGAAAATGCTGGACAGCAGATAGACTTCGTACGTTTTAATTTTCCCTCGATAATCTTAGAACAAATTTGTTCGTGACAGCACCATAGTGCACATATCTGATTATGATAAATAATGCCACTGGGTCATTCAGATGTGTGCCGGACTTGCGAGTCTCCAACGGACTCGTTTGGTGCTACATGTCTGCTCTACAAGACACGTCCGTGAAGCGTTGCAGCACTGAACTGCTTTCAGCGCACGGATTCGCTTGACCTTTTCTCTTTAACACAGATACCCGCACGTATCAGGACCGCACGGAGCTAGTCTTTCCCAGGATTTCGGGGGGTGACACGATCCAAGCCCCGAGTGGAGAGTAAACAGCCGGTGCGCATTTGGACAGCTACTTTACATTCCAGTTTCGTACGCGAGAAACCCCACAAAAGTCGCCGCGTAAAGGTGACCGTCGGTGTTTTCCACCGTGTAACTCGTTGTGGCTCCGACAAGGGGGCCACAAAGTAAGGCTCCACAGCGCAAACGCGCAGACACGGAGCGGAGATGGAGCCAGAAGTCCGTTACAGTTATTTTTCTTCAAACAACCTTACCTTCATTTGGGGGGTATGTCCGTGCCGACGAAACAAACGAAGAAATCCCGATAACAAGAAAGCTGGCTGTGAACAAAATCCCTGCCATGAGTGCCATTTGTGTCGTTGTTCAGTTTTTCTCTCCTCTTTTTCTTTCGTTGCTCTTCTCCCAGGTCCTGTTCTCTCTCTCACGCACACACTTTCTCCCTCCCTCTCTCTCTCTCTCCCTCTCTCTCTCTTTCCCAGTGGAATATGGATTTGAAGCGGACAGGGGAGAGAGACGCAACGAGCGCACCACAGCCAGGAGGCGGGTCTAGTCTGTGCGCTCTGACGCGGACCCAGTCTGACCATATAGGAAACGTAGAGCACGAGAAAAGGGGGCAAATAATCATTAACTCACCCCCCACCCCCCAAACACCCCACTTTCTCATTTACCAGCAGCAAGAGAGGGGATGTTGCTTTTGTAGAGTGGGACTCCTCCAGGATTTTTGCCCTGCACTCACACAGACTTAGTGAATCTGACCACGACCCTGTGAGACACTGACTTGTACATGAATAAACTACAAAAAGAGGGAAACTTTCGGTCTTTAGTGGTAAAAAAAACAGATGGATGGAACGCGCGCTGCTTTGAGTACAGTTTCGTGTTGAAACTATCTCTGCTTCATCCCCCACCCCCTTAACTTGAAGAAAATAAACACTAATTGACCCTTTTTGTCTCTTTCAATTTCTGTGTAAAATACAATGCGTCTGTTTTTGTCCTATGTGTTCCTCTGTAGTCTCACTGTGCTGATCCTGCATGTAGTCAGGCTCCAGTCAAGCGCAGCGCTGTCCAAGGTGAGCCGCATCGGACTAAGGTCGCCACCTAGCGGAGATATTGACGCCTGTTCTGACTGCAGAATTGGATTAAAGAACAACCATGAGCATGACCTCCTTGACACTACATGATATTGCACTTTGTGAAATTGACAATGCTCGTTTTGTGATCGGTAGCCAGCTTGTATTGGATTATTGTCACTTGCTGTTATTCTTATATTACAGAAGCTTTGAGGGCACTTATGATGAAATGTGCACAGAGATTCATCCATCAGCACTGGCTGCACAGCAGGCCTGTTGTGATGTGGAGCTGCAAAGGTGACTGATGTGCAGGAATTGATGTTACTCCTGCAGTTTTCCCTCAAACAAAGGCCTCATTGTTCATGTTTGTGAAAAGCCAGCTGTGTCCAGGTTTGGGGATTTGCCCAGGGTGCTCTCACTCCTTTATGTCCTCCCACACAGGTCCTCTATTGCTCCCAGGAGATGAGCCTTTCAATGATCTGCAGAGGAGATTGTCACTGTGTGGGCAGGTTAGGGCGTTCTGCATCAGCACACGCTGCTCCCACTGACTGCAGATAACTCTGCACCTTTATAATATTGTGTCTCTTTCAGAGTGGAATTTGGCCTTTAACAGCTTTAACTGTCAGTGATTCAGCGAGAAAACATCCAACCTTGGAGAAGTCATTGGATCTTTATCAACCAAACCATTGCTTATCATTCCTAAGGCTAGGAAGTCGAGACAAAATTCCATCCTGCAAATCAAAAAATGCAGCTGAATCGTTTTTTACCCACAAGGGTTGAGACGTTTCTTAAAATGTTGATAAAAACAAATAGTGACTGTTTTCAAATCATTTAAAGTGTGTAGTAAGTTTAAATCAGGGCAAAGACAACTAATCAAATGTTGAAACTGTAGAATGTTGAAAATGTTTTTAGTTTAAGAAAATACATACTCATTTTAAGCTTGATGCCAGGAACACTTTTGAGGCTTTGAAAAGGAATCACCACTCTGTGAGAGACTGTGTGAGCAAATAGTTCAACAGTTTCAGAATAATGTGTCTGGATTTCATAATCTAAAGTACATAAGATTATTAAAAGATAAAAAGAGTGTCGAGAAATCTGGAAAACCCTGATCTTCAGGACCCCAGGCAGCATTACATTAAAAACCAATATGATTCTTGAGTCACTTCCAAAAACCATTTCTGCATCCAGAACTGCAGGTAAAAACTTAACCCTGCATAGAAGAAACAAGACGTACACATGATCATTCATACCTAGAAACTTCTCTGGGCCTATATACTGAGGAGAAGCAGAAAACTGCCCAGTGGTCTGATGAATCAGAATTTGACATTCTTATTAGAAGCCATGGATGCTTTAAAGAGGAAGGGGAACCGCCTATCCTGTTAGTGGAACACATTTTCAAAGCCAAAGCCAAAGCTGATATAGTACAGGGATGTGCATGTCATGGGTATCTTCCACATCTGTGAAGACTCCATTAATGCTGAACGATATCTACAGGTTTAGGAGGAACATCTGCTGACATCCAGTAAAAGACTTTTTCAGGGAAGACCTTTATATTTCAGCAAGACAATGACAAACCACATTCTGACAACAAGGATTACAACAGCATGGCTCTGTAGCAGAAGAGTCCAGCTGAGAAACTGGACTGACTGAAGTCCTGACTTGACCCACTAAAAAAAATGAGATCCTGACCAGTGGAACGGCTGAAATCCTATAAGCCAAGAACAGGACAGCACTTCTCTTCCCAAACTCCATAAACAAGTCTCACCGGTTCTCTTACATTTACAGAAGAGCTGATACAACACTAAGATAAACATGACCCAACTGTTTTGAACCTGCTGCTTACATCAAATTTAGATCAAACTTATATTTTATTTGAGAGATCAAATTTTCCACATCTTGTCTTTTTACTTTTTTCAATCAAACACATATTAATGTTGAATCGCAAACTATTGAAATGTCTTTTATCAAACATCTTTTGCCAACCTCTATAGAATGTAGTTCCTATACAAGAAACTCCACTCCTTTAAATTCAATCATCCTCAAAACTAGGATGCTTATGGTAGAGGATACTGCAGGATGCATACAGTCAGCAGGTGTTTCATTTTTTTTTTTTCACTCTCATACATCTATGAATGTGTCTTTGTGTAGAAACACAGTCTATCGCCTCTCTGCTTTTTACGGATCCTGAAAGCTCTGGTTCCCATGCCTTTGTCGCTGGCACACAAACCTTACATTTGCAAAGCTTGGCTGCAGTATATACATATATACATACACATATATATTCATTTCTGTCCATACATGGAAACATCTATGATTTCCCTTATAGGGCTGATCTCACTGCAAATAGACCTGCCTTTGTCTGATGTGCTTCCGCAGGCATAGTGTGGCTTTGTTTTTTTTCCCCTCACAGATGTCACTCAAAGAAAAGAGGTAGTTTGTATTTTTATGTCGAAATGCTCGCAGAAGGCAGACGAAGAGTTTCCAAGAAATCAGAACAACGATGCAGATTCAGGCCTCTGGTGAGACAGGATACAATGCTTCTGTGAGGTTATGGTGTCTTCTGTTGTAAAATCACGGTCAGTTTAATGATGCAGACAAGGCACCTGGTGCCCCTCCAAAATTGGCCAATTTACCCCAAACGTTGATGAGCAGGAACTACACCCCCCACTGAAGCACACTTTCTCCTGTTGTGCCCCCAGCAACAAGCCTAGCAACCCTAAAAGACCCAGAGGGGACCTGGAGGGACTCTTTTGATCTTTTCCACCAGTGGCAAAAAAGTTTGGTGGACCGAAGATGCCAGACAATGACAGTGGTGGTGTGGGCAGTTTTTGTCTTGTCTTTCTTTATTTGTGTCACACTATTTTTTGATTGATTACACTCCTAAATTTTCCTTTATCCAGCTGTCAAACCAGCGTTTCTTTTTTTGTCTTGGGGGAGAGTGGACCCCCCCTCCATCTTCCAAACCTTTCAATTCCTCTCCTCTACCAGCCCACTCCTCTTTCCCCAGATGGCATCTGCTGCCCACACATCTGCATTGTGTGCCAATCAACACACACCGACTCTAAAGTCTTTGTTTGAGATTCACACACGCACACTTACTCGAATAAACTCACACACACTTCTGTTGGGACCCTAAATATTGTTTTTAAAAATACTACTGCATATCTGTCACTTAAGCTTGTAACTATTTAACTCAGAGTGTCAGAAACCATTCATGAGGCATATTCTATATTTCAGTGAATAACTTAGGCAGAATTTCCAATTAATTTTATACTAAAGACAGTTTCTTCGTGATGTGCTCTAGATAAATACATACGTGTGAGGTAGTAAATGTAATGTTCGTGTGTGGAGGGTTTTTCTGTTAATTTTTTTTTTATTGTTAATTTCAGAAGTTTCCTTTCAATGTTGATTTAATTTCCTGACAGCGTATATCCCCAAATATTGTCTGGGCCTTGTCTTTGCTTTATGCAGAAGAGACCAGGCTTGTATATGAAGCAGGTTTGTATTAGAAGGAGGCCTTTATTTGAAATTCAATCTGTCTGGGGATTATAATTGTTTATATTCCAATACAAAGCAAAAGCCAGATTCATGAAAGATTGTGTGCAAACTAAATCTATGCAAATTATCCAAAAAGACGTTTTCTGATTCACAAAGGAACATTTTGGCTTGTGTTCATCTTAAACAATTGGTTGCACTGAGCCTTTTTGTCCTGAGTGCTAACTTCTGTTTCCTAGATACTGAAGGACGACAGACCTTGTGAGGATGGTTGAAGGTGTAAGGAGGTTTAAAGTTTGGCTGAATACCTTCGTCTACCCTCAGGTTCATAAACAACTAACCACCAATATTTTTGGTGGTCTCTGTGTCTGCAGCCAGGTAGTTTAGTAAAGATGGATGGACACACATAGGATGATGGTCTCTGTAGTCCCTTTATCCCTTTGCTATAGTGTGAACAAAACTTAATTTTTGGTCTTGAAGACATGTTGTTACCTATTGATCTATCGCTGTTTCCTAACCACGAGTCACTCTTTTCATTTGCGCTGACTTCCTTTGGCCTTGCACCCTCTGGTCAGTAAAAGACCTCAATCTTCATGTCTCTTCGGGGAGTGAAGTACACATTTATTGTCCAAAGGCAACCCCCCACCCTGTCTTCTCTCTCCTCCCTCCTTACAGTTTGGGTCATTGTTTCAACTAAAACCTCCCCTGCTGGTCCATAAACCCCCCAGGCTCCAGGCCCTGCCCACCGCCTCCAGATCCCCAGCTTCATGCAGTGCTCTCTGGGCCCAAAATCAGGAAGACAGTACCTGGAGGTCAGAGCGAGTGGGAGTCCGAGGAGACCAGAGCGGAGAGGGAAAAGGAGATCAAAGGAGCAGCAGGAGGTCAGAGCTGAACAGCAATGAGATAAAAATCCACCGGACTGGAATCGTTTCTCAGATGAACACACAAGCTGCTTTTTCATAAGACCAAGGCTGAACCTACTTCTACCCAAACGCCTGTTTCTCTTCATGATGCTTGGCTGTCGCATTAAATCCCTTAATTCCACTTTCTAAGTCTTAGCCCATCATTTATAAACAAACTACTGATAATCGTATATTACTTTTGCAGCCCATACTCCAGGGACATATGGGACTCTTCAAAATGCAGAAATGTGTTTGTTGCTGTATATATTGTTCAGCATTAATGAGCCTGATGTGGAAGCTTCCACATACCATCAGGGATGCTGGCTTTGAACTGTGAGCTGATAACAAACTGGTTGGTCCCTCTGCTGTTTGGAAGTGAGGTTGTGATGTCCAATATTTCCAAGAAGAATGTCAAATGTTGATTTTTCAGATCATAGGATGGTTTCCCACTTCCTCTCAGACCATCTTAAATGAGCCCAGAGAAGTTGTGATCATTTCCTAACCATGTTTACAGATGGTTTCCTCTTTGCAAGGATCAGCTTTAACTTGCATTTGTGAATGTGTTTCCACAGCCACCTCATTGCTGCTCCACAATATGTGAAAGTTTTTTTTGAAGGAAATGCCTTCAAAGGTGAAGCTTGTTTAAAAAACTCAGTTCTGTATTTGTAAGGACAGCAAAGTCATTTTTGATGAAAATGAGTTTTTGGCCTAAATCAATTCTTGATAATGCTGGCCATCTCTGGTAAAATCGCCTAAACCCTTAGTTGAAAAATGCCCAATCCTTAGTCGATAGGCTCATGGCATGATCCTCATTATTTTAATAGGGTGATGATATGGCAGTTGTAGTTAATATATCCTGCATGCCTGTCTTATGTCTGCTCATCACTGTTTGCAGACAGTTTGACTGTAACATTAAATTGCAGTGCAGGAGAATCAACAGGCTCCTTACACAGTTGGAATAACACTGTTTACATCTACACTTGAACAAGAAGCAGCTCAACAGGCATGCATATGATGCTCCTCTATGGAGTTTGATGTGACAGACTGATCGCCTATCATCACCACCTACTGGTCTGGCGTGCTAATGTGGGTGCTTTGTGAGAAAAATACTCAACAATCCTTCTGTATGAAAATTATATGTATAGGAGTGAGCGATCATCGCCTGAGTCGTGCCTACATACTAAATTGAAAATCACAATTTCAGAAAACCAATTTCTTTTCCAAAATGTATGGACCTCTCCTCCATGATCTCCTTCATCACTGCTCGGCTGTCTCTCTGCCTCCCAATTCTACCAGACTGAAATGACTCGACACACTTCCTGTCTTCACAAGTGTGCACATAACACACAAACACACACACTCTACTCTTACCCTCATCCTTATGTAGATAGAGCTCCCTGTGCTCATTGCCACACACACACACACACACACACACACACACACACACACACCCATTGCTACCGTCATTCTTTTCTAAATTGGATAGAGACACTACCATGCCATATTTACATAAGTAATAACAGGCGCCTGCTCCAGGGGCCAGCAGCTCCTATCTCACAGCAGAAGAGGGGTAATTGCTATTTCGGCACTGAGGTGCTACCTGTGTGTTGCTTAAGTGTGATTGTGTATATGTGCATGTGCAAGAAAGGTTTATCGGAATGAGAGTCAGTCAGAGTGAGAGCGGTGAGTTTATCAGGGATTTCTTTGCATGTGTGCAAGCATGCACATTTTTGACTCTGACAGAATAAACCTCTTCTTCTTCTTCTTTTATTCCCTGCACACGCCTCGTCGTGTTTGTGTTCGTTCTGGTCCAGCAGGCTGCATCCAAAGCCCACCACTCCTCAGCTTGATGTTTGGTGTCGGGTTGGCTCAGTTTGCTATCAGCACACATCGTCCCATCCTGCAAGTGTGCTGCTGCGTTTTAGATGGTTGGCGTGACTGGATCTCTCTCTCTCTCTCACACACACTCTCTCTCTCTCTCTCTTTTGTCTGTCCGTGTGAGTGTTTGAATTTGTTTATTTCAGGCAAATGTGTGGGCAGTTGTCAATTTGCCCTGGATGGCTGTTTCTTGGGGATATATTTGTTTTGCATGTGTTTGTAGGTCTGGATTGTCTGCTTCTTTTTTGGGCATTATAAGCACATGCTCAGTATGCATACAAGTGTGTGTACTTGTCTTGTTATCCTTATGGGGACTGTTGTTATTCTAACTTCAAGCAAAGTGTCCCACTCTGTTTAGTTTGTCAAAGTTTAGATTTAGTTACAGGGTCAGATGTTGTGTTAAAGGATCAGTGCAGCTAGCACCTAGTTTTTCCAGGTAGTGAGTCATATTTTGTGTGTGTGTGTGTGTGTATGTGTATGTGCGTGTGTGTGTGTGTGTTTGTGTGTGTGTGTGTGTGCGTGCGTGCGTGCGTGTGTGTGTGTGTAATCCACAGTGCTCTCAGCAGCTCCACTGCTTCTTCCTCCTCTGTGCAACTCAATAAGCTCTCGCTGCTGTCACCGTGTAGCCGCAGGACGCCATAGCAACAAGCCCGCCTTTAGTGATTACCATGCTCAGCCCTTCCTCACCCACCTCCTCCATCAACACCCAGGGTGCAAATACAGCCCACCCTTTGGTAGAGGAAAAAGGAGGAGGAGGAGGAGAATAGCTGGTCTGAGTGAAATATGGAAGTGTAGTTTCCTCACATCTCTGTTCAACATTAGGAAGACTGTAACACTTTTTTTTTTCATACCTGTTTGGATTAATGATTTATTTTGGGATATTAGAGCCAGGCGATATTGATGGAAATTAAAACCTCAGATATTTTCACTTTTCCTTTATGGAGAAGTTGTCTGTACTGCACTATATGTCTGTTATCGTAGAAGAAAGTGATTTTTTTTATATGCGCAGGTGTACAGATGAGGGAGGACATCTTAAGCTAAATACTAGTTGCAACAGCCCTTAAACAAACTTTGCAGCATCAAAGTCAGAGTCCATGTAGCTCCAGCTGCTACTGAGGGTGTTTTTACCCCCAAAAGACACTGAGTACCATGGCTCTTATCTACATTAGAGATGCTGCCCACGAGGGGTGTTATGGTAAAAAGAAAATTAAGGTCAGTATTCTTCTTTGAAGACTCTGTTTTGAAGTCTCAGCCTAGTGCATTTCCAGAAAAACAAACAACTTATAAAATGTATTTCCTTTATGAGTAATTTAGACTTTGTCTGAAGTGTGAAGCGACAGTTTAGGCTGGTCGGACGGCAGATTTCCTTTTCACAATTTTTTAACGAAAAACATTCAAAAATAATAATGTAAAGAAAAAGTATAATAAAGTCAGGTCTGAACTTAGCCCCCTTTCAGCACCAAATGTGAACAGATTTTCTGTTTGGCATTTTTTTCTGCTCCTCTGCTGTCTGCATTTCTAAACTTTGCAGGGACATGCTGTCACATAGCATAAGTACATGCACTTTTGCATCACTTCTACTTTAAAGTGATATTCTGGTGTAAAATTAAGTCAGGGTCAAACACACCGTAACACCAAGTTAGACACTCCCTTGAGAGATGAATGTTGCTGACAGCTTGCTTCTCTAGTTATACTAACTTGACTGCAGGATAGCAATATAAACGGTCCCAGGAGCCATGTGCTCAACCAAAAAGCCACTCTTTAGCCACAAATAATGCTCAGAACAGCACCTAACTTCATCAACAGTAAATGTAGGGTCCCAGCCATAGCATTAGCCACCAAACATCTTTTTAGTTTTGCCCTGATTTCTCGAGCAAAGAGACCAAACACATCTTACTCACTTTCTTCCAGCAGCCGCTTGTTTGTTGGGGAGCCCTAACGAATTGATTTTTGGTTGAGGTTTGCGTGTAGAAGCGTACATAGACCGCTGTGTATTGCTATCCTGCGGTCATTACTAAAGTTGGTATAACTAGATAAGCAAGTGGTCGGCAACATTCATCTCTTGGGGGGGGGGGGGGGGGGGGGGTGTCTAACTCGGTGTTCAGGTGTGTTTGACTATAACTTAATTTTATGCCGGAATATCCCTTTAAGTGGAATAAGGCCCTAATGGTTGATTGTAATAATTTTATTTCGTAAGCCTTTAGCAGACAGGCTTTGTTTCAGTGAGTGAAGAAACAGTTGCACATGGGATCCTTAATGCATTTGTGTATGGCTCCAAGTAACAGGGTAAAAGTTTCATACAGGATCACGAGCTCGCCACCATATGCCATTATTTGCAATTTTCCATTGAGAATTGGGAAAGATGCCAAAACACACACTGCAATCTGCTGACTAAAAGACATTAGGAGAAAGGAGAGATCACAGTGGATCGAATGTCACCTAATCTGATGTGAATTAATTTGTAGAATTGAAGTATTACAATAATCTGATTTTATGTAACTGTTAATGCTGCCTCCTTGTGTTACTGTCAGTGATCAAAGTCTTTCCCAACCAATGATCACCATGTGAAGAAAGGAACTCTCTCTGCAGAAATAAGCTTTTGCTTTGAAAAGCATCCTGGAAGTGCTACCAAACAATATTTTCATGTTTGTGGTGTAAATACAGCCAATTCGGCACCATTTTCTTGTGCATTTTGGCTGAGATCTGCGCTCAGCTCACAGAAATGAATAAAAAAAAAATCTGTAAACCTTCCCTTCTTTAATTTTTTCAGCGCATAAGATGGCATGAAATGTACAACTCGTGCTGGCAAATTGAATGGTCTGATCTGATGACATGCATGCTGAAATGAAATCAAGCCCTCCCAGAACCGTCATGCAGCCAATATGCTTCCTGCATAAATCTGTAGGATCTTGTTGGCTGTGGAAACACGAGCAAGAACAGGCCACTTGGTTGAAACACACCATAGGTTCATGAGGAAGGACTTCACACTGCACATTTCCTTCAGCTTTTTTTCCGACTAACACTTGCATCAATCTGTGTAATGAATGAACAGATTTACGAGCTCAATCAATTAAAGACAGCACAGAATGTGTAGGCTTTTAGCATAAATAAATCATTACCACATTAACGTGCTGGGCTCTTGCCAGGTTTGCTTGTCACTTGTTGTGGCACTGGGTTATATTTGGCTGTTAAGTTTGATTGTTTTATGGCTGCAAACAGGAAGAGGAGGCTGTCCGCCACCTCAAAAACGAGGGAGCTTTGCGGTCAGCAGGAATTACTTTTGTTAAATGCTAGTGTAGCACGTAAAAAAACCACAGAAATCAGACATGTAAATGTGATTTCTTTGTTCTGAAATTCACAAATGAGAAACCACAGCTCCAAAAGCACCTTCCTTTGTTCCCAGTTTGTCAGAGAGTAACAGCTGAGGGGCCAAATGCTCATTGTGTGCTCCCAAACTCCCACTACCTTCTGCATCTCTCCTGATTCTCAAGATGACATCAGTTGGAACAAAAAAAAAAAAAAACTCCATCAACAACTCAAACAATCAAGTTAAGCAATTCAGCCAAGAGTCACTCTGTGTGTGAATGTGACGCTCGTGGCTACATCTGTGCACCACACAGATACACTCATGTTTGCAGCAATATCTCAGGATGAGAGAAAGAGAGAGAGGGACGAGTCTGCACATGGCTCTACTAATGCGGTGTGACTGAAATGTATACGTTTGAGTGCATGAAAAATACACACAAACACACACACACACACACACACACACACACACACACACACACACACACACACACACACGCCGTTACTAACACACCAAAGCTTAGGATAATGTCCCACATGGAGACATACATCCCTTCCATATCTTCCACATACGTACACTTGGCGTCACTGCACCGCCTCCTTGTCTGTACTGATTAGGAGGTGCTCTGGAGCGCCTGACACCGAGCCATAAAATAACTCTGAAACACCTTAAATCATCTCCCCCCGGAGTACATGCTCCCTTTTTCGTCTGCCAAATGTCTTTGCCGTGTAATCTTTTGCATAAAATTTCTAAAGCAGCTCAGCATTGGAGCTGATTTGTAGCTTGTGTTGATGCTTTAAGCATTGACTGACTGCCGACACAGACATCCAAATGTGTCCAATGACAGCAGCTTAATCTAGCAGCCAGATGAGGGTTTGCTGGATCATTACCCTGCCTCCCAACAACCAAAAGGGATGCTCCTACGACAAAACAGGAGGATAAGCAGGTTTTCATGGGCTTACATGGAGTAATTAGTGACTTTGATAGAACTTCGCACCTCATAAAACAAGACACAGCAACTTGTAAATCATACGCTATAGTCACAGGCAGAGGAATAAAGGTTTTTATTAAACGCACGTCCCAGATTTGTCTCATTCAGGAGGAGTTATTGCAGTGTGATGTTAGAGAACCTTTTTTGTGGGTTTGTGCCTCCTGCTGGTAAGTCATAAACCAGTGGCATTTCTCCCAAGACCTTCTCCAAACTGGAAAATGAAGAGTGGTAAACAACGGGGTGGATACAACAGCAGTCCACTCTGAACACCCTCAGGTAATTCTGCGACGACACAAAGGAGCTCTCGACACTCGGTCGCTTCTACAGTCACAGAGAGAGCTCGCACCTGCTGGGCTCAACTGCTGGACCTGCCGTGATGCTTATTGACTGACATGCTGCCGTCAGGGGGTAGAGCCGGGCGGTCGGGGCGTGAATAGGTCAGAAAACAGCCAGTGTTGTTGCATGTACGGAGTGGGCGGATGGATGCTGAGTGGTAAACAGAGAGTGGAGCAAAAGTGTGAGTAACTTCTTACGTGGGGGGATCCTTTGTTTTTATCCAAGTGGACCACACAAAAGATAATCTGCTTTGACAGTTTTGTATCAAAGTTTTCAGTCTTTACAAAAATAGAACGATAATAATAAAAATGTGCAACACTAACATTATGAGCAATAACAGAGCCACACAAGCTGTCACTTTAGTTGAAATGGGACATGATAAACGTTAAAATTAAAAGCACAGAAGGGAATATCAACTCTGGACTGAAATGCTCCCTTGCATACCCCTCCCATCTGAGAAGTGACGGTGGCCTTTAAGGACAAAAGCCCTCTATGACACATGCATTTAAGCATAAGCTTCCATTTGTCAAGCTTTACCAGCAAAAATGTCTTTACATACAAATTCACAGAACACAACAAAAAAACAGTCTTCCTCTTCTCCTTCTTTTTCTTCTTCTCTTTGTTCTTCCTCTTTTGCTTCATCTTCTTCTTCTTCTCCTGCAGCCCCTTACTTAAAGGTGGGGTAGGGTGGATCTGAGGAAGTGCCAGTTTTTTGGGAGAAATCTTGAATGTAAGGGGAGCAGCATTCACCTCACAACCGATCAGGATGGGGGAGATGGAGACTGGCTTTGTTTACAGCCAATAAGAGCCAAAAATTTTAAAAAGTTGACTACACAGACATAACAAAACACAGCAATATCGTTATATTACCAAATGTCATTAATAACTAATTGCTATTGACTGATATTAAAAGCTTTTTTGTATATAGACCACAAAAAAAGATGCTTCGATGCTTCTTTAATGGAATCCTGCCTACCCCACCTTTAATACTAAAATGCATCTGTCACTAGTTTGCCTGTAATGTGCCACTGTAGGAACATACTGATGCAAGGCGACAACCTCTGAATATTACATTACATTTCTATCCAGTCTGCTCCAGTAGCTAAATGCTGCTAAATTCAACACTTTGAAAAACTAAAGTGAAGAAACATCAATAAGTTATGAGGACAGCTGTAGTAGATATACAGTTGCATCAGTTTGTACATGAATGTCAGGAGAGGCTTTGAATCGGTGGTGTTCCCAAAAATATAACTGTTTTATCTTGCTAAATACAATAACCACAGGTAATACAGGAGCAGCCGTACATCAGATTCCTGCAAATCTTTGGTTGAACACGGGTGGGTTTGTAAATAGCTCTGGATGACAGCCTATGGATATTTAAAGGTAAAAGTAGACAGAGAAAAGTGACTGGTCAGGCAGCGGAGCGGTAGATAAACACAGACATGATGTGAGTCAGAAATAATGTCAAGTAAATATTTTTAAACGCTGTCCTGAGGAGATAAAGAACCAACTGTGAAAAGGCATTGTGAGTGCTTGAACTGTGAAATAACGCAGTAAGTGTAAGGAGAAACACAGAAAATAGAAAAGTAGTTCAAGGTCTTCAAAAAAAAAAAAAGATGTCAGGCACAGAGATAAAGGAGTTCTGGAGCTGATAAAATAACACTGATGACAGATTTATACCCCAACTTCAAAACACAGCCAATCTTCAGACACTCAGGCAGCACTGCATTAAAAACAGACAGGACTCTGTTGTGGAAATCACCACAAAATCACTTCCAAAAACCATTGTCTGTGATCACAGTTCATCAAGGCATCCACAGATGAGGTTAAAACTGAACCAAGGAAAGAGGAAACTAGATAGAAACATGATGATGACTGAGACTGATCTGAAAAATCAACATCTGCTTCCATCCAGACAAAGACATTTTCAGGGAAGACCTTCATATTTCAGCAAAACAACGACAAACCACATTCTAACAACAGGGATTACAACAGCATGGTTCTGTAGGAGAAGAGTCCTGACTAGTCACCCACTGAAACATTTGGAGTGTCATAAACTTTTTTGTTTCTTTGACTCTATTATCAAGGATTACCGGTTATACATACAATGCAAAAGGGGGTTTCAGCACTCAGGTAAATGTCAATAAATTGAAATAATTATGTGATGTGTCTAATCTTAGTCTGTTTTATCAACATAAACTCGCTCTTGGCTAACAGTTGTATCTCCACAGTTCTATTTTAAGCATCCTTGCAGAGCTGGCTGCACAGTCCTGCAGTGCCTCTCAGAACACCAGTGAGCAAGCCTGCATTAAGCCACTTGAGCCACACTGAATCCACTTACAGCTAAAAGCAGGTGGGCCTCCATCCATCCTGCCACTATATGTACATATACCTTTGGAGTGCAGTCCCCTGTGTCCCCCTCGCAACCCAG